AGAGAGAGAGACAGCTCACATGATGTCATCAGAGAGAGAGAGAGAGAGACAGGTCACATGATGTCATCAGAGAGAGAGAGACAGGTCACATGATGTCATCAGAGAGAGAGAGACAGGTCACATGATGTCATCAGAAAGAGAGAGACAGCTCACATGATGTCATCAGAGAGAGAGAGACAGCTCACATGATGTCATCAGAGAGAGACAGCTCACATGATGTCATCAGAGAGAGAGAGAGAGAGACAGCTCACATGATGTCATCAGAGAGAGAGAGAGAGACAGCTCACATGATGTCATCAGAGAGAGAGAGACAGCTCACATGATGTCATCAGAGAGAGAGAGAGAGCTCACATGATGTCATCAGAGAGAGAGAGAGAGAGAGAGCTCACATGATGTCATCAGAGAGAGAGAGAGACAGCTCACATGATGTCATCAGAGAGAGAGAGACAGCTCACATGATGTCATCAGAGAGAGAGAGAGACAGCTCACATGATGTCATCAGAGAGAGAGAGAGACAGCTCACATGATGTCATCAGAGAGAGAGACAGCTCACATGATGTCATCAGAGAGAGAGAGAGAGAGACAGCTCACATGATGTCATCAGAGAGAGAGAGAGACAGCTCACATGATGTCATCAGAGAGAGAGAGACAGCTCACATGATGTCATCAGAGAGAGAGAGAGAGAGACAGCTCACATGATGTCATCAGAGAGAGAGAGAGAGACAGCTCACATGATGTCATCAGAGAGAGAGAGAGAGAGAGAGACAGCTCACATGATGTCATCAGAGAGAGAGAGAGAGACAGCTCACATGATGTCATCAGAGAGAGAGAGAGAGAGACAAGCTCACATGATGTCATCAGAGAGAGAGAGAGAGAGAGAGAGAGACAGCTCACATGATGTCATCAGAGAGAGAGAGAGAGAGAGACAGCTCACATGATGTCATCAGAGAGAGAGAGAGAGACAGCTCACATGATGTCATCAGAGAGAGAGAGAGAGACAGCTCACATGATGTCATCAGAGAGAGAGAGAGAGACAGCTCACATGATGTCATCAGAGAGAGAGAGAGAGACAGCTCACATGATGTCATCAGAGAGAGAGAGAGAGAGACAGGTCACATGGGGTGTTTCTCAATGTGGAGTACGCTTGCTTGGTAGCACATGTCTGCCGAGCATCTTGCTTCAGAAGCGAGTCAAGAATACTTCCTGGCATTCAAAAACAAAGAGTGGAACAGGCTAGCAAGTGTGCAGGTGTGCGTCATATGAGAGGCCCCGCCTCCTTACATCTTCCGCCACAGATTTGGGGAAATTGGTCCGTGCGCAAAGCATTGTGGGGATTTTAAGACCGCGGAGTCTACTCATGTGCAGCCTCGATATTTCTCCAAACGGAGTACGCCGGGCTCGGTAGATTTCCAAGTATGCTGGAGATTGGAACAGTACTTCGGCTTGAAATAGTGGCTCTGAAGCAGCTTTACTCGACATTGAGAAACACCCTCTGTGTCATCAGAGAGAGAGGTCACACATATGCATACAGCAGGTACATACATGTGTATAAATATCCCTTTTAAATAATACATATAAAACACACACTGTATTATATAAGACATCAACTCACCATCAGGGTCATGAGCTCCTGCTGCAACCTGCAGACACACAAACACACAGATACAAGTATGACTTTTATTAGACATATTTTAAAGTGTGTGTGTGTGTGTGTGTGTGTGTGTGTGTGTGTGGCAGGATTTCAACATGGTTCTTCTGCAGCAACACTGATCCCAGTATATGTTACTAATAAGAGTGTGTGTTTCAATATATATTAAAAACACAGTAATAAACAATAAAATAATAATATCTTAAGTATAACAAAAACATTTATATACATGTCTTTATTTACCATATTTAACTTGTATGTCTAAACCCTGCACCTTATACAAAGATATTTATACATTTTGTACGTTACTACAGCCTTCTCTGCACTTTCTGGTTGGTTTTAAACTGCATTTCATCACTCAGCGCAGTGACAATAAAAGGTGAATCTAATCTAATATTCAGAAGATATATTAATAATAAAGCTGATCTCACCGTTTGGTCACGGAGCCCCTGGCCGCGCTGCCTCCTGTCTCGCTGGCCTTCAGAGTCGCTGCTGCTGCTGGGTCCTGGTTCTGAGAGGCCATGGTGCTGCAGACAGACAGGTGAGGGAGACAGGTGAGAGAGCGAGAGGGAGACAGGTGAGAGGGAGACAGGTGAGAGAGAGACAGGTGAGAGAGAGACAGGTGAGAGAGAGACATGTGAGAGAGAGACATGTGAGAGAGAGAGAGACATGTGGTTCACAACAGGACTCTATGAGCTGCAAACAGACTATGAAGTGGATATTTTTAAAGTAACCCCTCCCACCCGGACCCTACTACTGACATGACGTTATGACTGTCCCTCAGGAAACTGAGTAGTACAAACTGTTTATGTGCAATGCTTGTCTTCATGCTGCCGTTACGAAAGAAGTTTCCAAACTGGGATCAATAAAAGTACATATTATCCAGTTTTTAAATGACTAAACTGAGTAATAAAATAAAAACTGCTCAGACTCCTCGGTAGCCCACAGCAGCTACATGCCAATTGTCATTTATTAATTTAGGATAAACCTCCTTGAGATTAACCATCTTGTTTTCAAGTGGGTCCTCCTAACATATGGTACTAACAGCAAGATTCGGAGGGAGGGTAATAAAAGTATTGAGTGAATCAGATGATATGTGGAGGAATGTGGTAATCATAACTGTTGTAGATAATGCAGATAGTTTTGAGCTGCAGCCTGAATATGTCTTCTTGTGTTGAGGTAGGAACACCAGAGAGCCAACATACATTGGTTATTAGATTATTATATAGTATGATTTGGTGAGGGGTTGGAGGTCAGCTTTGGATGCAGTTTGGTAAATAACATCAGCATAATCAAAAAGTGCCATTATAACGTGTGAGGCAAGTTGCTATCTGACATGTTATCTACCGGCATCATCAGGTACATAATAAACAGATAAACAGGTAACCAGATAAACGGTGCTTTTGTTTTATCACGCTGCTTTAGTATATCTATATTCATCTATCTTCAGTTGCGAGTACAGGTCAAAACAGTGTTTCTAGGTTAGCTTGATGCTAACGGGAGCTTTAGCTCAGGTTAGCTCCGCGGCTAGCTTGTTTACCGTTAATAGCTAAATTACATTCGCACAGATGAACTCCTGGCAGACTCACCGTGTGTTGAGTGTCTGTGGACCGGGGGTTTTCTCCGTGTGTTTACCGGGAGGTCTGTTGTCGGTGTTTTTTCTGATCGGTTTGTTCCGAGCTGCGAATTCAAACTCGCTAACTCCCGCCCCTCAGTTTAAACGGCTCTACATCACACTCACAGCCAATCAGCGTCCGACGTTCAAAAACAAACCGCATCCCGCTGACCAATGATAAACCCGCAGAAAGAAGGATACGTGATGTGATTGGACAGGAGAAAGGTCCGGAAATACAAACTGAGATTCATCTAAAACAATATTAAATATTTGAAATACACTTTATACATATTAAATTAGTTATTGAACTTATCCTGTAAAGTGTGTGCGTTGAAAAAAAATGTCCTCATCGTGAAGGTGTATCGTTTGTCGTTTTTATTTTTAAATAAAAACAATAGACCAAAACAATGTTTCCGCTCGCTCTTATTTTGAAGGTACAGTGTTTCCGCTCTTGTTTTGAAGGAACAGTGTTTCTTCGGTTAAATATATATATATATTTGTATATAAAGTAAAGCAAGATGAACGCCCCTCCCGCCTTCGAGTCGTTCCTGTTGTTTGAGGGAGAAAAGAAGATCAGCATCAGCAAAGACACGAAGGTCCCGAACGCCTGTCTGTTTACTCTGAACAAAGAGGACCACACGCTGGGGAACATCATCCGAGCGTAAGAGAGGCTAACACGGAGCTAACACGGAGCTAACAGTGAGCTGACAGGCTAACGCTGGGCTTGCAGGCTAACACTGAACTTGCAGGCTAACGCTTGGCTAACTGTGCTAACACTGAGCTAACTGTGCTAACGCTGAGCTAACTGAGCTAACACTGAGCTTACTCTGAGCTAACGCTGAGCTAACTGTGCTAACACTGAGCTAACGCTGAGCTAACGCTGAGCTAACTGTGCTAACACTGAGTATAACAGTCTCAGAAGTACTCGGATCTTGCACTTGAGTAAATGTAGAAAAGTATTATCATCAAAATATGGTTAAAGTAGCGACAGTAAAAGTAGTGATTGTGCAGATTGGTCCATTTCAGAATAATATATATGATATATTTTATAATGATTGATGCATTAAAGTGTAGCTATTTTCTAAGCAGGGTTTCACAATAAGAGCCTTCTTTAAAACCCTGTCTGTCTTTCTGTGTGTCAGTCAGCTGTTGAAGGATCCTCAGGTCCTGTTCGCTGGTTATAAAGTTCCTCACCCTCTGGAACACAAGATCGTCATCAGAGTGCAGACCACACCTGACTACAGCCCACAGGTAACACACACACACACACACACACACACACACACACACACACACACACACACACACACACACACACACACACACACACACACACACACACACACACACACACACACACACACACACACACACACACACAATATGAAGCTGTGATCAGTTGTGAAAATCCTGAATGTCCTCTTCCAACATCAGAGTAACATGCTAACAAAGGTATCCCGACTGTAGCTGTGTACATGACAGGATGTATGATTACCTAGAAGAGCATCAGGACTGTTTGAGGCATATGATAGCTATGTGATTAACATGATGATTCAGCCTCTATGGAGATAGACATCAAGCATGCTCATTTCTGACGTGGAGCTAATCTGAAGTAAACATTGAATACTGCTTTCTATTCCTCCATCTTGTGACTGTGTAACTCCCTCTCTTGGATATCAGCATGTGAAGGACACTGTTCAGGAACTAGTTGATGCTCTGTATGTGATGACTACTTCCATTCTGGAGAGGATCACAGATACATGGATCCGGATTTTGAGAAAAAGTCTGAATTTTGAGAACATTTCCGAATGTTTAGAAAATTGAGATTTGAGGAAAAAGTCAGAATTTTTGAGAGAAAGTCGGAATTTTTAGATTTTGAGAAAAAGTCTGTATGTGATGACTTCTTCCATTCTGGAGAGGATCACAAATACATGGATCCTGAGATTGAAGCTCAAGCCGGGGGAGAGTGAGAGTTTTCTAACAACCCTGTTTCTTCTCCTCTTCGGACAGGAAGCGTTCACGAATGCCATCACGGATCTGATCTCTGAGCTGTCGCTGCTGGAGGAGCGCTTCAGGGTCTCCATCAAGGACAAACAGGAAGGCATCGAGTGAAGCCCCGCCCCCACCATGTCACTTCCCCTTTTAGATGTGTTTATTTTTGTAAATAAAAATGTGTGATTTCACAACTTGTAGGTTTTTGAGCTTTTTATTTGGAAAAACGGCAGAAAAAATACGTTCACGGTTTGTGTGGGGGGGAGGGTCAGAGGGCAGTGAATGTAATTGTGTGTGTGTGTGTGGGGGGGGGGGGTCAGAGGGTAGTGAATGTAATTGTGTGTGTGGGGGGGGGGGGTCAGAGGGTAGTGAATGTAATTGTGTGTGTGTGGGGGGGGGGGGGTCAGAGGGTAGTGAATGTAATTGTGTGTGTGTGAGGGGGGGGTCGGTGTGTGTGTCAGTGGTCGATGTCCCTCTGCGCCTCCATGGCTCTCTGCATCTTCTCCACCATCCAAACAGGAACAGAGAACGGCTTCAACTCGTCCATCCTCACCTCCGGACCCTCCCTGAAACACACATATAATATTAAACTAAATAGGGACAAACAAAATGAGAAAACGCCCAGACTATAGTCAACTAGGATAGGTATTCAAACACTGAGAATAAAGACATAACGTTCAGATGAACTGTAATTAAACGTAACTATTCAATCAGACCATGATTAGCGTTAAAGACTCACCTGTAGTCGTCGCTGCGGGCCAGATCCTGGATGTCCTCCTCGATCAGCAGGTAGGCCTGAACACACCGGGTTATAATGTTTTTATTCATCTATATTTCAGCCCAATAAGACAATTCTAAGAAATGTTTATACAATGGAAGAAATGACACGATTACAGACAGGATTGGTGGAAACTGGGATTAATAATGGACGGATTATAAAGGCATTAAAAAGGAACTGTGTGACACCCCAAGATAATATAATGCCCCCCCCCCCCCCCGCCCCCCCGGTCCTGTTTTAACTGCTATTTCATTAAAGGTCACCTATCAGGCTGTTTGTAGGCAATAGCATAGGTCTCAGATATATACAAATATATAAAAAACATGTCTGAAGTGTTTTGCTCCAAACACCAAACAGATCATTCTAGCCATGCCTCATATCCCTCTATTTCACTTCCTGTTTCTAAAGTGCTGATTTGGGGTATAAAGCTTTAAAAAAGAGGGGTCTGAGCTCATGCGGGACCCGGCAGCTACTGTCTAAACTAAATGCTGCCGTGATGAAACGCCATATCATGGATTATCAAGGATTCTCTCTGAAACAGTATGGAGCTCAAAGGCTTTCTCTCTTGCCGGTTATACCACAAGGTGAGTTCCTTTTTATTTCCTGCTTCTTCACACACATGCTCTCCAGTACAGGTTAGCTCTGAGTGTTAGCCATGCTAATGTAAACACCGACCATATTACGTCCAAAACAGTCGGGCATTGTTTCTGATAGCAACGTTTCTGATTGGGCTGTGGGTCCACATTTCAGATATTACGTCATATCGGACGCAAATCTGGATCAGCTCCGTTGTTCCCCCGTTTTTAGAGATTTGGGTACGGAGGAAAAGAGAGAGGGTTTTATTTCCTGACGCTGCGTGAGTTCCCTAACACACCGGGGACACACCGGGGACACACCGGGGACACACCGGGGACACACCGGGGACACATGTTGATGTAGAGAAGACATCACAAAGTGCATTTTGCATGATAGGAAACCTTTACAGAAAGATGGACACCACTGGTCGAGGTAATAGAGGAAACTGGGACACCCCAAAATTATACAATATGGCTTCTTTAAATTGAGGATTCTTTTTTGTAATGTTCTGGTATATGGATATTTGTCCTAAGTATATTGGACTGTATTATTGTAATATGTAGGATGACCTTATATATAACCCCATCTTTTATTCTATGTGTGTCATTTACATTCTCAGTGTTACTATTGATTTGATTTCTATACATTTTGTTCTCATGTTGAACCTTGGGGATTTGAGACCTTCTCCATGCTGAGAGCCCTTGTTAAAAAAGCTGTTCATCTAAAATGGAGGAATATTGGATGTAAAGGGGAATGTGAGAAAATAACTAATTAAGAATACGTTTAAAAAATAAGAAGAAGAAGAATCAAAGACACTGAGTTTTAAACTTATTCTGAAAAACACAATGCTGAACTGGTTTAATTCAAAGTTAGTGTTTCTGCTCAGATCCAAACCCTGTGATCGTCTGTGATCGTCTGTCCTCACCATCTTCCCTCCGGTCGCTCTCATGTGATGTCGCTCTGCCAGCCACTGCTTATCCTTGGCGTCCGCTGCATACTGAGACACACACACACACACACACACACACACACACACACACACGGTATTAAAGGTAGCACACATACAGGAAGTGGTGTGTGTCATTTCCTGTCTGATAAAAAGACCTCTAAACATTCACAGAGGGCAAACTGTGGGGCTGAGGCCCAATTCCAAACCGTAGCAACTCCCCCTCCCTCTGTCGTGACACTCCCAGCTAGATGAGGCTCCCTCCTTCCAGGTGGAGCGTCTAAATACAGCGGCAAGATTTGGAACAAACTCCGGTTTCACCGCGGTTTCAAATCAGCAAAAATAAAACTCAAAAATCTTTAAAATGGTGTTTATTTTTTGTAAAGCTCTTTTTTTAGTTTTAAACCTGATGTTTATAAGCTTCTTAGTTTTTGCAACAATCTGTAAATATACACAACTTTATAATGAAATGCACACTTTCACATTTTTCTAGGAATGATCCGGAGTTATATACGAGGTAACCCTGAAGCTTTGCATCTGTATGAAGATATTAAAGGTGTCTTGTTGTGCAGGTGATCAGGTGATCAGGTGATCAGGTGATCAGGTGATCAGTGGATGTTTGCAGAGTGTTTCCTGACGGACGCACACAGCGCTGAGTCCGCTCAGGTGAAGGACCGATGCAGACTCTCTGCTGGAGGGCTTGATAACCCACTCCCCCTCCACACTCCTTGGTTTGGAACAGACCTTAATGCGGTGGACCCTACGAGAGAACGCGCAAACGGAGGGGTAGTGTGTAGGGGGCGGTTTGGAACTGGGCCAAACTCTCCAGACTTACTGTTGGGCTAACTATCAGGCTACTTGTGGTGCTAAGAATCTGAGTTTGTTTGTTTGCCTTGAACAGGTCAGCGTGTTTGAGAGTGTGTTTGTTTGTTTGTTTACCTTGAACAGAGGCCAGGGGCCTGTACTACGAATCTAGTTCAACATATCCTGGATATGTTTTGAGTTAGCCGGTTGACTAAATCCAAAAAAAAAACGCTCTCGCTAAACTGTCCTACGACGCTGGTTATCAAGTGGATCGCTCAAGCCAGCCGTGTCCTATCTAGTTAGGTGGCGTTCACATGAAAGGGGTGGTATTTGGAGCATTCGACCAATCTCAAACATGGAGAAGCGTACTGACAGCGCAGCGTCATACTTCCTGAATGAAAAGTGAACTTTAATATTAGTCAAATATGAAGAAGTTAAACTTTAAACATCCATGACTTAAACACTTTATCCAGGATCAAAGCCACATAGCTGCACCTGCAAGGTGAATACAGCTGGTAACAGAGAAAGTGTTTGAATGCGTACATTAACAGGTTTATGATATCACTGCCCCGTCTAAGACACGATCTGACTTTAATTACATTTGACTCGAGTGTTTCGTCAACTTAATGTGTTGCTTAAAATAATACTTCTGCATCCAGTATGTGACACTGTGAGTGTTGCACGGCCAGATACGGCTCAGCTGACTCAGATAAGGAGATATATGATACATTATGATGTGATATGATATGAATGATAATGGGACACATCTACGTCTGCACTCACAGTGCCGCGGACTGTACTTAATGTTACTCTGATCCGGTTACTTATGTTGTGGCAGATATTTAAGTAAGCTTTCTTAGCGCTAATGTTATAATAGTCAGATTGCTCTGAAGATGGGAGGGGATATTCTATTAATGTTCACGTTCACACAGTCGGTGATTTTTGCCGGCCGTCTTTCCTGCAACGGCAGTTTTTCTGTATTTCCTCTATCCTGTAATATGACTTGATATCTTTAAACTCTGCACACGGAGCTCTGATTGGTCAGCAGGCGGTGCTTTTATCCTGGAACCTATCCTGCTCCGGAGGCTAGCCGTTCAGAATAAGTTATCTAGCCCGCTAAAAAGTGAACCAGCTTCGTAGGACCGGAAACCCCTGAAGTTAGCTCGCTAAACGAAAATCCTGCTTCGTAGTATAGGCCCCTGTACTACGAAGCAGGATTTTCTCTTAGCCGGCTAACTTCTGGCTTTCCGGTCCTACGACGCTGGTTCTCTTTTTAGCGGGCTAGATCTCCATGGTAACTGATGCTGAGCGGCTAACCTCCTCGGGAGCAGGTTAGGTTGCAGGCTAAGAGATCAACTCGGTGAAAGCACCGCCTGCTGACCAATCAGAGCTCCGTGTGCAGAGTTTAAAGCGATCAAGTCATATTACAGGATAGAGGAAATACAGAAAAACTGCCGTTGCAGGAAAGACGGCCGGCAAAAATCAACTGACTGTGTGAACGTGAACATTAATAGAATACCCCCTCCTCCCATCTTCAGAGCAATCAAACTATTATAACATTAGCGTTAAGAAAGCTTACTTAAATATCTGCCACGACATAAGTAACCGGATCAGAGTAACATTAAGTACAGTCCGCGGCACTGTGAGTGCAGACGTCGATGTGTCCCATTATCATTCATATCACATCACATCATAATGTATCATATATCTCCTTATCTGAGTCAGCTGAGCCGTATCTGGCCGTGCAACACTCACAGTGTCACATACTGGATGCAGAAGTATTATTTTAAGCAACACATTAAGTTGAGGAAACACTGGAGTCAAATGTAATTAAAGTCAGATCGTGTCTTAGACGGGGCAGTGATATCATAAACCTGTTAATGTACGCATTCAAACACTTTCTCTGTTACCAGCTGTATTCACCTTGCAGGTGCAGCTATGTGGCTTTGATCCTGGATAAAGTGTTTAAGTCATGGATGTTTAAAGTTTAACTTCTTCATATTTGACTAATATTAAAGTTCACTTTTCATTCAGGAAGTATGACGCTGCGCTGTCAGTACGCTTCTCCATGTTTGTGATTGGTCAAATGCTCCAGATACCACCCCTTTCATGTGAACGCGCACCTAACTAGATAGGACACGGCTGGCTTGAGCGATCCACTTGATAACCAGCGTCGTAGTACAGGCCTCAGGTCAGCGTGTTTGAGAGTGTGTTTGTTTGTTTGTTTGTTTGTTTGTTTGTGTGTTTGTTTGTTTGTTTACCTTGAACAGGTCAGCGTGTTTGATGTAGATGCGTCCTCTGGTCCCGCCCATCCCCAGCGCCCTGCAGTGACATCACAACAACATGATGATGTACTTCCTGTTCAGCTGTTTCTCAGGACAAACACTAATAAAGTTGTGTGTGACCTCACAACACAACACATGTTTGTTGTTTGAAGTTGACTTGATGTTGACTCACTTGTTGGCTCTGGAGCCCAGAACGAACGTGCTGCCTTCATTCAGTCTGGAGGGTTCCCACTGAAACACAAGTTATATTATAAAGAAGTGATATTGTTTACATCCAGCAGACACATGGACACATGCAAACCATCACACATCGATGTCTGATAGGAAAAGCCTCCCAATGAAGATTTGTCTGTTTGTTTGTAGCCTTTATTTAACCAGGTAGGTCCCATTGAGATCAACCATCTCTTTTTCAAGGGAGACCTGCGGTACATTGGTTACACATGAAAACAACAGAAAACAAAAAGGACATCACAACATAATTACAGGGGTATAAATTAGCAACCTATTCACAGTGACAGGTATCCAATAACATTTCATCCAGCCGTGCTTTAAAATGAAGCAAGGGAACATAGTGTTCCAAGCTAGAGGAGCAGCGCACATAAAAGCTTTAGCACCTAGAACAGTCCTAGCACTTGGCACATGTAGAACACATCCTGGGATCTCAGGCAATAGCTACTTGCCACTCTCCGTGAGATCAAAGAGCAGATATAAGAAGGTAGTTTACCCAGCATGGCTTTATATATGAACATGTACCAATGACTGAGCCTCCGTACAGTGAGTGAAGGCAGACCTGCCTTGGCATACAGGGCACAGTGATGAGTAAGTGCTTTACAGTTAGTAACACATCTCAGAGCGCTGTGATAGGCGGCATCTAACCTTTCCAGGTAATGGGCAGGTGCATTCATGTAGATCAAATCACCATAGTCCAGCACAGGTCAAAGGTCACAGAGCCTTTTCCTGGCTTCAAAAGAGAAACAGGACTTGTTTCTGAAAAAGAAACCTAATCTAACCCTCAGCTTTCTAAGCAGGTTAATGACCTGAAGTTTAAAAGTAAGACAATCATCAAGCCAGATACCAAGGTATTTGTAACAGGTAACCACTTGGAGTACTTGTCCTTGCATAGTCACAATATCCAAAGCAGTCTCTGGAGTCTTTTTAGCTTCAGAAAAGAGCATTACTTTGGTTTGATCAACATTTAAAAGAAGCTTAAGTTCAGAGAGCTGAGTCTGAATAATGTTAAAAACAGCCTGTAATTGAATGATATCATAACATAAGCATTGCATCAGAACAGCACCTGATGGACCCAGAAGAGACCCTCAGACCCTCAGACCCTCAGACCCTCAGACCCTCAGGGGCTCAGACCCTCAGACCCTCAGACCCTCAGACTCTCAGACCCTCAGACCCTCAGGGGCTCCATGTGATCTTTAATGTTTTAGAAGGGAGACTCACCTTTGGACCTTCTTTCTTGATGGAGTCAGACTTGGGCTTTGCTCTGAGGAGAAACACACAGTCAGGTGATGCAGAGAACACCTGATGCAGATCTACCTGATGCAGATCTACCTGATGTACCTGATGCAGATCTACCTGATCTACCTGATGTACCTGATGCTGATCTACCTGATCTACCTGATGCAGATCTACCTGATGCAGATCTACCTGATGTACCTGATGCTGATCTCCCTGATGTACCTGATGCAGATCTCCCTGATGCAGATCTACCTGATCTACCTGATCTACCTGATCTACCTGATGCTGATCTACCTGATCTACCTGATGTACCTGATGCTGATCTACCTGATGCAGATCTACCTGATCTACCTGATGCTGATCTACCTGATGCAGATCTACCTGATCTACCTGATGCTGATCTACCTGATGCAGATCTACCTGATCTACCTGATGCTGATCTACCTGATGTACCTGATGCTGATCTACCTGATGCAGATCTACCTGATCTACCTGATCTACCTGATGTACCTGATGCTGATCTACCTGATGCAGATCTACCTGATCTACCTGATGCTGATCTACCTGATCTACCTGATGCAGATCTACCTGATGCAGATCTACCTGATGCAGATCTACCTGATGCTGATCTACCTGATGCTGATCTACCTGATGCAGATCTACCTGATGTACCTGATGCTGATCTACCTGATGCTGATCTACCTGATGCTGATCTACCTGATGCAGATCTACCTGATCTACCTGATGCTGATCTACCTGATGTACCTGATGCTGATCTACCTGATGCAGATCTACCTGATCTACCTGATGTACCTGATGCTGATCTACCTGATCTACCTGATGTACCTGATGCTGATCTACCTGATCTACCTGATGCTGATCTACCTGATCTACCTGATCTACCTGATGCTGATCTACCTGATCTACCTGATGCTGATCTACCTGATGCTGATCTACCTGATGTACCTGATGCTGATCTACCTGATGCAGATCTACCTGATCTACCTGATGCTGATCTACCTGATCTACCTGATGCTGATCTACCTGGTACAGATCTACCTGATCTACCTGATGCTGATCTACCTGATGCTGATCTACCTGATGCAGATCTACCTGATGCAGATCTACCTGATGTACCTGATGCTGATCTACCTGATGCTGATCTACCTGGTACAGATCTACCTGATGCTGATCTACCTGATCTACCTGATGCTGATCTACCTGATGCAGATCTACCTGATGCTGATCTACCTGATGCTGATCTACCTGATGCAGATCTACCTGATGCTGATCTACCTGATCTACCTGATGCTGATCTACCTGATGCTGATCTACCTGATGCTGATCTACCTGGTACAGATCTACCTGATGCTGATCTACCTGATGCAGATCTACCTGGTAGAGATCTACCTGATGCAGATCTACCTGATGCTGATCTACCTGATGCTGATCTACCTGATGCTGATCTACCTGGTACAGATCTACCTGATACTCACTGAGAGGGGAAGCCATGAGCTCGATCAGACGCCGCTGCAACTGGACGAGCCCTCCTCTGTGGAGACAGACACCACGTTAATACACTGAGACCCTCATTACTGCAACTACAGTCTCATTACTGCAACTACAGTCACATTACTGTAACTACAGTCTCATTACTGTAACTACAGTCACATTACTGCAACTACAGTCTCAGTACTGCAACTACAGTCACATTACTGCAACTACAGTCTCATTACTGCAACTACAGTCTCAGTACTGTAACTACAGTCTCATTACTGTAACTACAGTCTCATTACTGTAACTACAGTCTCATTACTGTAACTACAGTCACATTACTGCAACTACAGTCTCAGTACTGCAACTACAGTCACATTACTGCAACTACAGTCTCATTACTGCAACTACAGTCTCAGTACTGTAACTACAGTCTCATTACTGCAACTACAGTCTCAGTACTGTAACTACAGTCTCATTACTGCAACTACAGTCACAGTACTGCAACTACAGTCTCATTACTGCAACTACAGTCTCAGTACTGTAACTACAGTCGCAGTACTGTAACTAGTCTCATTACTGTAACTACAGTCACATTACTGTAACTACAGTCGCATTACTGTAACTACAGTCTCATTACTGCAACTACAGTCTCATTACTGTAACTACAGTCGCAGTACTGTAACTACAGTCGCATTACTGCAACTACAGTCTCAGTACTGTAACTACAGTCTCATTACTGTAACTACAGTCTCATTACTGTAACTACAGTCACATTACTGTAACTACAGTCTCATTACTGCAACTACAGTCTCATTACTGTAACTACAGTCGCAGTACTGCAACTACAGTCGCATTACTGCAACTACAGTCTCAGTACTGTAACTACAGTCGCAGTACTGTAACTACAGTCTCATTACTGTAACTACAGTCGCAGTACTGTAACTACAGTCGCAGTACTGCAACTACAGTCTCAGTACTGTAACTACAGTCGCAGTACTGTAACTACAGTCTCATTACTGTAACTACAGTCGCAGTACTGTAACTACAGTCGCAGTACTGCAACTACAGTCTCAGTACTGTAACTACAGTCGCAGTACTGTAACTACAGTCTCAGTACTGCAACTACAGTCTCAGTACTGTAACTACAGTCGCAGTACTGTAACTACAGTCTCAGTACTGTAACTACAGTCACATTACTGTAACTACAGTCTCAGTACTGCAACTACAGTCTCATTACTGCAACTACAGTCTCATTACTGCAACTACAGTCTCATTACTGCAACTACAGTCTCATTACTGTAACTACAGTCACAGTACTGTAACTACAGTCTCATTACTGCAACTACAGTCGCATTACTGCAACTACAGTCTCATTACTGTAACTACAGTCGCATTACTGCAACTACAGTCACATTACTGCAACTACAGTCTCAGTACTGCAACTACAGTCTCATTACTGCAACTACAGTCTCATTACTGTAACTACAGTCACATTACTGTAACTACAGTCGCATTACTGTAACTACAGTCGCATTACTGTAACTACAGTCTCATTACTGCAACTACAGTCTCATTACTGCAACTACAGTCGCATTACTGCAACTACAGTCACATTACTGTAACTACAGTCACATTACTGTAACTACAGTCTCAGTACTGTAACTACAGTCTCATTACTGCAACTACAGTCGCAGTACTGCAACTACAGTCGCAGTACTGTAACTACAGTCTCATTACTGTAACTACAGTCTCAGTACTGCAACTACAGTCTCAGTACTGCAACTACAGTCTCATTACTGCAACTACAGTCTCAGTACTGTAACTACAGTCTCATTACTGTAACTACAGTCTCAGTACTGTAACTACAGTCACATTACTGTAACTACAGTCACATTACTGTAACTACAGTCTCATTACTGTAACTACAGTCGCAGTACTGTAACTACAGTCTCAGTACTGTAACTACAGTCACATTACTGTAACTACGGTCTCAGTACTGTAACTAGTCGCAGTACTGTAACTACAGTCTCAGTACTGTAACTACAGTCACATTACTGTAACTACAGTCACATTACTGTAACTACAGTCTCATTACTGTAACTACAGTCTCAGTACTGCAACTACAGTCTCATTACTGCAACTACAGTCTCATTACTGCAACTACAGTCTCATTACTGCAACTACAGTCGCATTACTGCAACTACAGTCTCATTACTGTAACTACAGTCACATTACTGTAACTACAGTCGCATTACTGCAACTACAGTCTCAGTACTGCAACTACAGTCTCAGTACTGCAACTACAGTCTCAGTACTGTAACTACAGTCGCAGTACTGTAACTACAGTCTCAGTACTGTAACTACAGTCACATTACTGTAACTACGGTCTCAGTACTGTAACTAGTCGCAGTACTGTAACTACAGTCTCAGTACTGTAACTACAGTCACATTACTGTAACTACAGTCTCATTACTGTAACTACAGTCTCAGTACTGCAACTACAGTCTCAGTACTGCAACTACAGTCGCATTACTGCAACTACAGTCTCATTACTGCAACTACAGTCTCATTACTGTAACTACAGTCGCATTACTGCAACTACAGTCTCATTACTGTAACTACAGTCACATTACTGTAACTACAGTCGCATTACTGCAACTACAGTCTCAGTACTGCAACTACAGTCTCAGTACTGCAACTACAGTCTCAGTACTGTAACTACAGTCGCATTACTGCAACTACAGTCTCATTACTGTAACTACAGTCTCATTACTGTAACTACAGTCTCAGTACTGCAACTACAGTCTCATTACTGTAACTACAGTCGCATTACTGCAACTACAGTCTCAGTACTGTAACTACAGTCTCATTACTGTAACTACAGTCTCATTACTGTAACTACAGTCTCAGTACTGTAACTACAGTCTCATTACTGTAACTACAGTCGCAGTACTGTAACTACAGTCATATTATTGTAACTACAGTCGTATCAAGAGGGATGCTCTGCCCAGGTTAGATTTTTGTGCTGTTTTCGACGGACCTTCTTAGGGGCGGGGCTTCCTCTCTGACTGTAGTCCTCATCAGCAGCTCTGGCCCTCTGTCAGGAAACACAGTTATTATTCAGATAATATTCGTGAACACTTTGGTGATCTAAAGATGAGAAGATCCAAAGTGAGGTCTTCAAATGTTTTTGTCCCTTTAATAAAACATATTTAACTTTAACAATTAATGCATTACTAAAATAATATGTTATTTTCGGGGTGCTGTCATTGGTCAGTTCTTACCTTGATGGCGGCCTCTGGCCCCGCCCTCTTCACCTCCGCTTCTGGAAACAGCTGTTTGGCCTGGTGATGACATCACAGAAAACCATGGTAACCACACAAGAACACAGAGCATAAGGAGGAAACAACAGGAAGTGAACTCATATGTGATGAGAGCAACAGGAAGTGAGCTCACGTGTTCCAGAGCGTTCCTGCAGGCCTCTCTGATCAGCTGATCCGTCTGCACCTCCTCGCTGACATTCTCCTTCACGTTCTGCGCCGCTTTGTCAAAGAACTGCAACACAATCAGTATCTGAGTCACATTTAGCTTTAGAGCTTAATTCAAGCCTTTGTTTCTGTCTGAAGTGATAATAACAACAATAGTTAGTGTGACCTCTGACCTTATGGTACTTCCTGAACACGGCCATGATGTCATCGTTGAAGCTCGGCTGAAGCACCGCCCTCAAGAGATCCATCGACACCTGAGGGTCTGTGTAGCTGCAGACAGACAGACAGAGAGAGAGAGAGAGAAGAGAGAGGAGAGAGAGAGAGAGAGAGAGAGAGAGAGAGAGAGAGAGAGAGAGGAGAGAGAGAGAGAGAGGAGAGAGAGAGAGAGGAGAGAGAGAGAGAGAGAGACAGGTGAGAGACAGACAGGAGAGAGAGAGACAGGTGAGCAACAAGGTTGATGAAAAATGGTTGTCATAATGGCACAAAAAAGCCACACACAAACACACACCTGACGGCCATGTGTGAGCGGCGTCCTCTGCGCTGGATCTGTCGGTGTTTGATCATCAGGTTCCACGGCGCCTTCAACACAAAGAACACCGACTGCTTTATATTTAACGCTCGGAAAGTATTATCATCAAAATATAGTTAAAGTAGCGACAGTAAAAGTAGTCATTGTGCAGATTGGTCCATTTCAGAATAATATATATGATATGTTTTATAATGATTGATCATTTAAGTGTTATTAAAGCTTGAGTAGTGGAGTAGAAGTACACAGTAGTTTAAAAAGTAACAATTGTACTTAAGTACAGTACTTGAGTACATAAACTTAGTGACTTTACACCTCTGCAAATATAGTGACACAATAAAATATAATGTAATAACCTAGTGTACTCAAATGTACCACATATAGTAACACAACAACAGATGAGGTGTGTGGTGTTAGCCTGGTTAGCTGCGGTAGTTACCGGTCTCTGCTCCTCCTGCTCCCCGTCCAGCAGCAGCCCTTCCCGGCCTCCCTCACTGCGCTGCGCCCCCATCACACGGTCCTCCGGAGCTAGGCTAACTGGAGCTAACAGCGGTTTCCGTTACAAAGCCCCTTTACCGGCTGTTTACCGGTTAGTGACTCTGGCTCTGGGCTGACGGAGGTTTTCCGATCAACCGAAAGTAGATATTTTTCACAAGAGCTGATATTTGTTTGTTTCAGGAAGTTAATTCCTCTGTGAAGCTAACAGCAGCTAACAGGCTACACGCTTCCGGTTAGCCCCTTCACAATTGAGCACCACAACTCCAATAAAAACAACGGATAAAAGTAATTTATTATTATTATTATTACTTTACCATTTTTATTATTAACATTTTCTGGAGTTTGGCTAACATATAGGCCTGGCCCATGTAGATAAGGCTCTGTTCTCAGCTAACATGTAGTAGTACGAGTAGTACTTGTTTACTCGAGTCTCTGCTCTTAGTTGTCATGTTTTTATTGTATTTCTAACACACACCTCTGATAACATATAGGTCTTTCACTGTGTTCACTCTCTGAGCGGAGTCGCTGTTATTAGTACAATGTTTAAGTACATTTTTAACACTTTATAGGAAGATGTGTAACAGATGTGACGTCACTCTGGTTATTGGACTCTTCATGAGGGTTTTTAAAATGAATGTAGATTAAATGTAATATGTTAAAAATCAAATGTTTATTTAATAATATTCCTGACAGGTGAGGAGAGAAACAGACAGGTGGAGAGAGAGAGACAGGTGAGGAGAGAGAGAGACAGGTGAGGAGAGAGACATACAGGTGGTGAGAAAGAGAGACAGGTGAGGAGAGAGAGACAGGTGAGAGAGAGAGAGACAAGTGAGGAGAGAGAGAATGTTTATTTTATTTAAATATAATATTCCTGACAGTAAAAACAGAATAATTCAGATTGATTTCAGACTAGTAGTTCTCCCTTCCTGTGAGAGGTGGCTGCTGGGAAATGATGCTGGACGGACTGAAAGGACTACAAACATGGCGTCTAATTTAAAATTCAAAAAGAAAAGACAAATGCATCTTTCTCGGAGGAGGTAAATATATTTTGGGATATTTTGTTTTCATAATTAAATAATCTATTGAATACAAACCCTAAAATAAGAAATATTTGTATTGAACTTATTGATACAGGTCTTAACTTGAAAAATAATGTAATATTTTTGTAATCACGAGACACGACATGTTTTGTCCAAAGGGAGAGACTTTTATCAGATACAGATCTCAGGATGAATTCATTACAATAAAACATCTCCTGTAATGCAGCTTTACCAAAGTGTTCTTTCACCAAACATTAAAGGACTCGTCCAACGTTAGCCTAGCTTAGCACAACGACTGGAAGCAGGGGGAAATGCCAGCTTCAAATAGTTTAAACATAATAATCCAGATTTACAGGGAACATCCCAACATGTCGGACTGCTCCTTAACAGAAAACTCTAAAAGTAGAAGAAACATTTTTTAGATTCTCTGCGGCGCGATAAAAAACGTTTATGTAACACAGGTTGCAAACACACAACAAAACATTACATATTGCAAAAGATATAAAATGTGGGAGGTGAGAGAGAGACAGGTGAGGAGAGAGAGGTGAGGAGAGAGAGACAGGTGAGAGGTGAGAGAGAGAGACAGGTGAGGAGAGAGAGGTGAGGAGAGAGAGACAGGTGAGAGGTGAGAGAGAGAGACAGGGAGAGAGAGAGACAGGTGAGAGGTGAGAGAGAGAGACAGGGAGAGAGAGAGACAGGTGAGAGGTGAGAGAGAGAGACAGGGAGAGAGAGAGACAGGTGAGAGAGAGAGACAGGAGAGAGAGAGAGAGAGACAGGAGAGGAGGAGAGACAGGTGAGAGAGAGACAGGTGGGGAGAGAGAGAGAGACAGGTGAGGAGAGAGAGGTGAGAGAGAGACAGGTGAGGAGAGAGAGGTGAGGAGAGAGAGAGAGACAGGTGGAGAGAGACAGGAGAGAGAGAGAGAGACAGGTGAGAGAGAGACAGGTGAGGAGAGAGAGGTGAGAGAGAGAGAGACAGGTGAGGAGAGAGAGAGAGACAGGTGAGGAGAGAGAGGTGAGGAGAGAGAGAGACACAGGTGGAGGAGAGAGAGAGAGAGAGAGACAGGTGAGGGATGAGAGAGGGTGATCGAGAGAGAGAGAGAGACAGGTGGGGAGAGGATAGAGAGAAAAGGTGAGGAGAGAGAGGTGAGGAGAGAGAGGACGAGAGGGGACAGGTGACGAGTGAGAGAGGTGAGAGAGGAAAGAGACAGGTGAGAGAGGAGACGAGGTAGAGGAGAGAGGAGAGAGAGAGAGCAGGTGAGAGAGAGAGAGACAGGTGAGAGAGAGACAGGTGAGAGAGAGAGAGAGAGGGACAGGTGAGAGAGAGAGAGACAGGTGAGGAGAGAGAGGTGAGAGAGAGAGAGAGAGAGGACAGGTGAGAGAGAGAGAGACAGGTCGGACAGAATAAAATAATTCTCAAATGTTTACAAACAAAACAAATATATCTGGAACACTAATAACAGCAACAACAAGGTTGATGAAAAATGTGGGAGTTGCATTTTATTTGATTACATTGTAATAACACATGCAATATGTAATAACCAACCACGATGTCTTCATCAACACAACCATTTAAAACATCAAAGCATCAAAGTCCATTTCATTGTAAAGATAAAACCAGGTCAGTAACATGTCTCTAGAAACACAGCGTGCTCAGAGAAGACATCAGTGGTTAGGACATACAGCATGTGGCTACCCTTTAGAACCTCTGCTGTATCACGATGGGGATTACATCTGGTTTCCAGCTCATGTGTTGTTGGCGCAGCGGCAAACACCGTCTGAGAAACATTCAGGATGATTTTGTCCAAAAGGTTTCATGCACAACAAAAACCCAAATAACGACATAGCATAAAAACAGAGAGACGGGCGGAGAGTTATAAAAATAATGCTGTTAGATTGGCGCATACACACTTCTACTTTTACATACAAGGTCATATAGATTTTTTTAATAACACTTTGGTTTAGTTTAAAACAAACTATCATAGACTGTATCAACACTTTTCCATCTCTTTTTAAAAATGTTAAATTAAATCAAATAAAAAAAGAACAATTACATTTGTTTTTTCAATCAATTTAACAGCAGATGAGCAAAATATCAACAGACTTCATATCAGTTTAACTGTACAGTATCTACAGTCAGCCAATCAGAGGACAGCTCCCAGAGACAGGGACCCAATCAGAGGAGAGAGCCCGGAGTCAGGCAGCCAATCAGAGGATAGTTTCTGAACACAGTCAGCCAATCAGAGGACAGTTTCTGAACACAGTCAGCCAATCAGAGGACAGTTTCTGAACACAGTCAGCCAATCAGAGGACAGCGCCCTGTGAAAGTCCCCCGGAAACAGCCCGGAGACAGTCAGCCAATCAGAGGAAAGCGCCCTGTGAAAGTCCCCCAGAAACAGCCCGGAGACCGTCAGCCAATCAGAGGACAGTTTCTGAACACAGTCAGCCAATCAGAGGACAGCGCGCTGTGAAAGTCCCCCGGAAACAGCCCGGAGACCGTCAGCCAATCAGAGGACAGCGCCCGGAGACAGTGGGCCAATCAGAAGACAGTGTGAGTCTGCCAACCAGAGGACTTCATGTTGTACAATATGAAGCACTAAATTAAGGGTGGTTCCAGAAAAGTAAAAAGGTAACCGTTGAGAGAAAGATGAATTGAAATTGTCTTTAATTTGTCCTTTCAGTTCATTGTGTAATAACAATGTGATGTCATTGTGTAATAACAATGTGATGTCATTGTGTGCAGTGCAACAGCACCTAAAAGTGAATATTTAGAGCGGTACGGGGAAGAAAGCTGTGTTTATGTTGTGATTAAAGAGTCCTGTCTAGTTCACTTCTCATGACTCTGAAACACAAGTTAAAAAAAGACGTCTGTCCTCTCTGACCGGTTCGAGTCCCGTCTGTTCTCTCTGACCGGTTCGAGTCCCGTCTGTCCTCTCTGACCGGTTCAAGTCCCGTCTGTCCTCTCTGACGGTTCGAGTCCCGTCTGTTCTCTCACTTTCATTATTCTGCCGCCTTCCCGTTAACGACCTAACGTCGGGAACCTGCTCTGACTCCATGTCCCACAATGCACCACCTCTGAGAGATGTGCACCGATTGGCCAGGCCTTCCCAGGGAGGCAGGGCTTGAAGAAGAGTCCAATAGAAACTATAGCTGCCTTTTTTTCAACCAATCACCAAGCCCTGTCTGTCGGTGGGGGGGGACCAATCACATCACAGCTGAGTGAGAATGTTTTTATTGCTGGAGCTCCGACATCTCATTGGCTGCTTGTTGGCTAAGCCACCACCTGGACATGAACATACGCTCCAGGCGACGTGATGTCAGATCTTCGACCAATCAGAAGAGCTGCTGGCGGCTGCAGAATGGCATTGTGGGTATGTGGACAAATGCTACAGGTGCTGGTGAGGGACAATCTGAAGAGACGACGATCAAAACAAACAATGAAAAACAGAAAACTGTACACGGGTGAAAAGGAGACACTTTTTTACACGCCGGCCACTTTTTCTACAGGACCGCTGCCGCCGCTGCTGCTGTTCGTGTTGTTGCTGTTGTTGTCATCATGGCTACCTGGTGACATCACAGCACTCTGCGGCCTATCAGCAGGCTTAGGGGCGGAGTCTTTCTCTATGGAGGCGGGGTCATTTTGTTTACACAGCGGCCACTTTTTCTACAGGACTGCTGCCGCTGCTGCTGCTGCTGCTGTTCGTGTTGTTGCCGTTGTTGTTGTTGTTGTCATCATGGCTACCTGGTGACATCACAGCACTCTGCGGCCTATCAGCAGGCTTAGGGGCGGAGTCTTTCTCTGTGGAGGCGGGGCCAGGAGAGGACATGGGGGGGGGGGCAGGAGGGGGAGGGCTGGTACGCCGCCGTGAGCTCGGCCAGGCGCTCAGGGGTCGGAGCCCACTTAGAAAAACCAGCGTCGTTCTGGAGGAAAATAACTGCAGTACCATGGACCGCCCGGTAGTACATCTCATCCCTGAAAGTACACAGAAACACAGTAATTAGTACACAGATACAGAGGAATGTAGTACATCTCATCTCTGAAAGTACACAGAAACACAGTAATTAGTACACAGATACAGAGGAATGTAGTATATCTCATCTCTGAAAGTACACAGATACACAGAGTAACGTAGTAGTAGGAGTAGTACATCTATTTACATGTATATAGACTTCTTGCACTATTCTTTATTTTGTTTTTTTGTATTATATTATATATCAGGGATGCAAACACACGTATGGTGAAAAAAGAGAAAACTATTGGAAGCAGAAAAACCCAGCGTAACATCCCACCTGACAAAGGCCTGCTGTAACGCTTCAATGAACTGGCTATTCTTTATCATGTACTCAGATCAATAGGAGACAAAGATGTTAAGTTACAAATCAAGGGTCTTCATTATTATCTACAGCAGGGGTGGGGAACCTTTTTCCTTTACATTTTTACAGCATCCTCCGAGGGCCGTACAAATGATTGAACTCAACCTCTGCTTAAAAAAACTAAAATCACAGCCCATTCATTTGGCCTTTCTTTCATGCTGAGCAAAGAAGAAGCAACCTCTGAATCCAGATATCTCACCATGACTCGATGCATGCACGTGCACGGTGTGGCATGCACGTGCACGGTGTGGCATGCACGTGCACGGTGTGGCATGCACGTGCACGGTGTGGCAGGACCACCACAACAGAAAGATATGGACACAAGATGTGTGCAAATGTATTTAGTTTCCTATCCATGTGGACATGATTTAAGTGGGGGGGGGACCTAACCTCCTCTAGGGGGGACCTAACCTCCTCTAGGGGGGTCCTCACCTCCTCTAGGGGGTCCGGGGGGCATGCTCTCCCGGGAAGATTTTTTTTTAAATATTGAAGTTGAAAGCATCAATCTGGTGCACTTTGAGAGCAACATTAGGAGATCTATGGAAACATCTCTCAACATATGAAACAGAACTGGAAGCAGATTTTATTTTTGGATATTTTACAAATGACTCCCTTTTTAAACTGTATTCTTGTTATTAACAACTTTTTTGTTTCTGTCATAGTATTTTATACCTGTTTTTCATTTAGTCTCTAATGTCTCATTAATAACTATAATGATCATATCAAGGTGTGCCTTAACCTCACTGAGCTGAGGTTATTTGAGCCTCTCAGGAGAGAGCTCTCTTCCACCTGGTTGTAGAGAAGCTCTTTAAATTCGTTAGCATAGCTAGCTAACCAGATGCTAATAACAACAGATCTCCACTGTGCTTACAACTAAAGACACAGCCACGCAAACACTGCGGCATGTGTACGGCTCCTTATGGGTCCTGCAATATTTGAAGAGCTGGAGCGGCGTTCCGGTGCTCTCCGTCAGCACTCTAGTCTACACTCCTTTCAGACGAGACATATACCACGTGAAGACACGTTACGCTCGTGTTGTGTTCAAGGAACCTGTCCTTGATCAGGAAAAACAGGCACTCGCTTGTATAATTATTTTGCGGTCTAGATTTCTTCTTCTTTTTTGAAGTGAGAAGTTGTCCGTCAGTCGGACTGACCCCACCCCCAAAACGAAAACGAAAACTCTTCGGTTCTCCACGAATTACACAAGTCACCCAAATCAGCGTTAAAAAAGCGACTAATTAGCATCACTGATATATGTTGCCTTGTTGGAGGAGCTCAGGTCAGAAGAATGTCTACTCTGGAGCTGCTGAGCATCTGATAACACCTTTGAATCTTGAATCTACATGTAATAGCATCAATACCTCTTGCAGATGTGCTGGCTGCCGGACCGGTACTCGTGTTCGAACGCTGTGACGGTCATCTGGTGCCGGAGGAACCGACTGGCCTCCATCCGGGTCAGAGCCGGGGTCACGGGGTCGCGCCACTCAGGAACGAAGACGATGAAGGACAGCGGCTCAGAGGACTTCTCCAGCAGACCCTAGAGGGACCAGAGACCCAGTACAGCCCGGTTTAAGACCCAGTACAGCCCGGTTTAAGACCCAGTACAGCCCGGTTTAAGACCCAGTACAGCCCGGTTTAAGACCGCAGTACAGCCCGGTTTAAGACCCAGTACAGCCCGGTTTAAGAACCAGTACAGCCCGGTTTAAGACCCAGTACAGCCCGGTTTAAGACCGCAGTACAGCCCGGTTTAAGAACCAGTACAGCCCGGTTTAAGACCGCAGTACAGCCCGGTTTAAGAACCAGTACAGCCCGGTTTAAGACCCAGTACAGCCCGGTTTAAGACCGCAGTACAGCCCGGTTTAAGAACCAGTACAGCCCGGTTTAAGAACCAGTACAGCCCGGTTTAAGACCCAGTACAGCCCGGTTTAAGAACCAGTACAGCCCGGTTTAAGACCCAGTACAGCCCGGTTTAAGACCACCCACCTGTGCTACACCTGTCAGGTATTAAACAGTAACTGGACGAACCTCAAAGTGGGTCACCATGGCGTCCATCAGCTCTTCACAGAAGGGAGGGTTGGCTTCAAAGGAGCCGCTGACCGGACAGAAAGACAGGAACGGCCTGAAAACACACAGAGGGTTACAAATACTGCAATATACTGGGGACAGTAATTACTGTAACACCACACACTGCGGGTCTCACCCTCTGGATCCGAAGTATCCGTCGGTGTCGGGGAAGGCGGAGCTGAACTGTTTGAAGTAGCAGTTGAGCGGCGAGGCGAAACACTCGAAAGAAACTCCAAACTGTCGCATCAGCGCCTCGAACACGGGAACCGGCAGCGCCCCCTGCAGGCCGCTGCCCTCATTAGCACCGCTGCCAAACAACACCTGAAACACACACACTTCGTTAAGCCCTCCTCTACCAAACATAGGCTGTCAGGGGAGCTCAGGGATTGGTTAACACAGTCAGCTGACCTGGTATCTCTTCAGGAGGCACCAGACTCTGGTCAGGAACTTCTCAAAGCGAGGGTCATCGATGCAGCTGTACCTGTACAACAGCTCCTGAGAGACAGACAGGGGGGGGGTCAGTACCCCTACATGTTGCCGTGGTGATGTCAGTACTGCTACATGTTGCCGTGGTGATGTCAGTACTGCTACAAGTTGCCGTGGTTACTCACCAGTTTGCTGAAGTGACCTCTGTTGACCTTCACCATCTCCCCTTTGAAGCGCAGGCAGGCCACGTCGTTCTCAAAGTGCAGCTCCACGCGGGGGAGGGGCGGCGAGGGGGGGGGCCAGACGCACCGGGAAGCAGTACACCAACCTCTGCTGGGGGGGGGAACCACTGGCCTCTGAACACACAGAGAGACACACACTTAGAACACACACACACAAAGCAAACGGCTACATGTGGGGGGGACTCAGGTTTGTGTATATGCATATGTGTGACTCTGTGTTATAAGTGGGGGGGTCCAGGAGCAGGCTTAGGTGTGTGTGTGTGTACCTGTGGGGGGGTCTGGCAGCAGAGCCAGGTGAGTGTGTGTGTGTGTGTGCGTGCGTGTGTGAGTACCTGTGGGGGGGTCTGACAGCAGAGCCAGGTGAGTGTGTGTGTGTGTGTGTGTGTGTGTGTGTACCTGTGGGGGGGTCTGGCAGCAGAGCCAGGTGAGTGTGTGTGTGTGTGTGTGTGTGTGTGTGTGTGTGTACCTGTGGGGGGGTCTGACAGCAGAGCCAGGTGAGTGTGTGTGTGTGTGTGTGTGTGTGTGTGTGTGTGTGTGTGTGTACCTGTGGGGGGGTCTGGCAGCAGAGCCAGGTGAGTGTGTGTGTGTGTGTGTGTGTGTGTGTGTGTGTGTGTGTGTGTGTGTACCTGTGGGGGGGTCTGGCAGCAGAGCCAGGTGAGTGTGTGTGTGTGTGTGCGTGCGTGTGTGAGTACCTGTGGGGGGGGTCTGGCAGCAGAGCCAGGTGAGTGTGTGTGTGTGTGTGTGTGTGTGTGTGTGTGTGTGTGTGTGTGTGTGTGTACCTGTGGGGGGGTCTGGCAGCAGAGCCAGGTGAATGCTCCTCAGTCTGCGGCTGTACTCCACAGACAGCTGGTAGATCTTGGAGCAGATTCCCTCCACTGAGTCCTTGGCGACGGCGGTGAGGTGAGGGCCGCATTGTTTCCTCAGGTGCTCCAGACGGTCCTACACACAGGAAGAACATTACATCACTGTTTCTCAACCACTGTGTCCCGTGAGAGAGGGTCAGGTGAGCCCTGAGAGAGGGTCAGGTGAGCCCTGAGAGAGGGTCAGGTGAGCCCTGAGAGAGGGTCAGGTGAGCCCTGAGAGAGGGTCAGGTGAGCCCTGAGAGAGAGTCAGGTGAGCCCTGAGAGAGGGTCAGGTGAGCTCTGAGAGAGGGTCAGGTGAGCCCTGAGAGAGGGTCAGGTGAGCCCTGAGAGAGAGTCAGGTGAGCCCTGAGAGAGGGTCAGGTGTGCCCTGAGAGAGGGTCAGGTGAGCCCTGAGAGAGGGTCAGGTGAGCCCTGAGAGAGGGTCAGGTGAGCCCTGAGAGAGGGTCAGGTGAGCCCTGAGAGAGGGTCAGGTGAGCCCTGAGAGAGAGTCAGGTGAGCCCTGAGAGAGGGTCAGGTGAGCCCTGAGAGAGGGTCAGGTGAGCCCTGAGAGAGGGTCAGGTGAGCCCTGAGAGAGGGTCAGGTGAGCCCTGAGAGAGGGTCAGGTGAGCCCTGAGAGAGGGTCAGGTGAGCCCTGAGAGAGGGTCAGGTGAGCCCTGAGAAACTGTCCAATTTCACTTCATCTGTCCAGAAAAACATGATTTAGTTGCTGCAAACAAAATCCAACAGAGCCGTGGTCACAAGCTAGCTCAAATGTGATTTCCAAACCAAACACCGTCACTTCAAAACAGGATATTTTTGAGAAACACTGCACAGAGAAATCTCTTAGAGCGACTGAGGAGCTGAGAGACTTGTCATTACATATGAGCTGTAATAGACTACATGGTTTCAATGTGAACAATGCACCGGGGCTCCAAAGAGGTTCTGCAGGATAGGACACGTCTGCCCTCTAGTGGCTGTTCTTTTGTTTTAAGTTAAGGACTAATTATTAGAGGTTATTACAGGGCTTAGTTGAATACTCCATTCGGACATTTCAGAGGTTATGAATACGTGATAAGCGGGGGAATGTGCATCGAGGAGTCATTCATGGAAAGAAAAAAGGGGGGGTCTTCGTCAATGACCACCAACTGCTCACCATGTAGTCCTCCTTGCTGGCGGAGTGATCTCGGCGCAGCCAGCTCATGGTGTCTTCAGCGTTCCACTTCACCACCTTCCTGCTCTCCGGACTGGCATTCCTGCAGGTCAGAGGTCAGAGGTCAAAGCAGACATAAACAGAATGGTGGGAAAAGAGCCGAGTTCTCATTGGTCGATCTTCTTTAGAGGAGACCAGGAAAGGATGGATACACTGATTGTGTTTCGTGTATGACATTAAGATTGAAATAGGCATGTGACGACTCTAAATAATAATGATCACGATACCATATGCAGATTCAAACTAAAGTCACCAGCCTGTTTGGTAAAAGTACTGATACCAGAACAATCTACTTAAGTACAGAATCAGAGTATTTGTACTCCCTCCTCTGATGGTGACCTACCTGGAGTCGATCATCTTCTTGGCGGCTTCAGCGTATTTAAACAGAAGCTTCCGGGCCTCCTCTTTGTATTTAATACGGGCCAACCTGAGACACACACATGAAATACATCATCAACGTTAGAACAGAGAGGCGGGTTTAAGGAGACACACTTTGGGTCCAGACGGACAGACGGGTACCTGATGGGAATGTCGTTCATGACCTCTCTGAACATGGAGGGCGAGATGACCGGGTCGCAGTCACTCGGCAGGAAAGTGTCCTGACCTTTGTCGATCACTTTCCTCTCCAGCAGCCAGCGGTTAAACGACTCTCTGGGCGGGTCGATACCTGAACACAGACAAAGACTTAGAACCCTGTTCACGGACAAATCTCAGGGAAACACTATCAGGTCCTGGGGTAGGTCAAGACCCAGGTAAAGACTAACAAGTCCCAATGTCAAGTCCCAGGTAGAGACTAACAAGTCCCAATGTCAAGTTCCAGTTCAAGACCAACTCATCTACGAAGTGTCAGGGTTGGAGTTTGTCCCACGTGGAGTCTAACAAATCCCAGGTGAGGACTAAGAACTCTTTCACTCTTTAGATCAGTTTGTCCTGACCTGGGACTTGACGAAAGACTAACCCCAGGACTTGCAAGAGTTCTTGGTCCTGACCTGGGATTTGTTGGTCTTCACGTGGGACAAACTCCGACCCTGACACTTCTTGGATTAGATGGTCCTGACCTGGGACTTGACCTGGAACTTGACATTGGGACTTGCTGGTATTGACTTTGGACTTGTTAGTCTTGACCTGGGACCTCTTAGGGTTAGGGTTAGTCCAATGTCAGGACCAACAAGTCCCAGGTCAAGTCCCAGGTCAAGTCCCAGGTAAAGACTGACAAATGGATTGCTGTATAGTCCAACAAATCCCAGGTAAAGAATAACAAGTTTTGGGGTCAGTCTCACATCAAGTCCCAGGTCAGTTAGAACTCTTTCACTCTTTAGATCAGTTGGTCCTGACCTGGGACTTGATGTGAGACTAACCCCAGGACTTGTAAGCGTTCTTGGTCCTGACATTGGACAAACTCTCGCCCTGACACTTCTTGGATTAGTTGGTCCTGACCTTGGACTTGACATGGTACACGCTGGTCTTGACATTGGGACTTGTTAGTCTTGACCTGGGAGCTGTTAGAGTTAGTCCAATGTCAGGACCAACAAGCCCCAATGTCAGGACCAACAAGCCCCTATGTCAAGTCCCAGGTAAGGACAACAAATGGACTGCTGTATAGTCCAACAAATCCCAGGTAAAGAATAACAAGTTCTGGGGTCAGTCTCACATCAAGTCCCAGGTCAGGACCATCTAAGAAGTTTCAGGGTTAGAGTTAGTCCCACGTGGAGTCCAACGAATCCCAGGTCAGGACCAAGAACTCCTACAAGTCCTGGGGTAAGTCTTAGGTCAAGTCCCAGGTTAGGACCAACTGCTCTAAAGAGTTCTTAGATCTCATCTGGGATGTGGTGGTCTTCACGTGGGACAAACTCTAACCCTAACATATCTTAGATCAGTTGGTCCTGACCTGAGACTTGACGTGAGACTAACCCCAGGACTTGTACGCTTTTTTTGTCCTGACCTTGGACAAACTCTAACCCTGACACTTCTTGAATTAGTTGGTCTTGACCTGGAATATGGACTTCTATTGACTTGGGATTTCTTAGTCTTGACTTGGGAACTGTTAGGGTTAGAATTAGTCCAATGTCAGGACCCAGAACTCTTACAAGTCCCAGGTAAAGACCAACAAATGGACTGCTGTATAGTCCAACAAATCCCAGGTAAAGAATAACAAGATATGGGTTCAGTCTCACATGAAGTCCCAGGTCAGGACCAACTAAGACGTTTCAGGGTTAGAGTTAGTCCCACGTGGAGTCCAACGAATCCCAGGTGAGGACTCTTTAGATCAGTTGGTCCTGACCTGGGACTTGACGTAAGACTTCCTTGTAAGCATTCTTGGTCCTGACATTGGACAAACTCTAACCCTGACACTTCTTGAATTAGTTGGTCTTGACCTTGGACTTGACATGGCACATGCTGGTATTGACTAGGGACTTGTTAGTCTTGTCCTGGGACCTGTTAGGGTGAGAGTTAGTGTGTGTGAGTGTGTCTGTGTGTGTGTGTGTGTGTGTGTGTGTGTGTACCTTCTCTCTGGTGGCACAGCTCGTGGTAGTGTTGACGGAGTTTGGTGACCAGCTGGGCTCTCTGCAGCTCGATCTCAGGGTGGGGGTGCAGGTGGTTGGCGGGGGGGTGCTCTCTGATCACAGCATTGGTCTGAACATCCAGATCCCAGTAGATCCTTTAAAACAAACAACAACAACGTTAAATCTCCAAAATTTGATTTGATTTATTTAGAACGTATAAAGCAATAATACAAAAAATACAAAATGAAATGAAACAAGAGAATTATGATAATGTACAAACTGAAGCAGTATCAAATACAATATATAATTAATTATTTTACGTTGTATGTCATATTTTACAAGACAAATATAAAAGAATATCTTTTTACATCCACCATCCAAAATACGTTTGTTATTAAAAAACAAATGAAAGGCCGGACTTTGTTTCCACAGATCCAGAACTCGGCTGTGAAGAAGTGTCTACTCCCTAATTGGTCATTGTTTTATTTTCATTATGTCTTTCTCATCTGTGTTTTTTGTGTCATGTGGATATTGCTGAAAAGAACTATGAACAGATTGATGGCATTCATGCTGTGGCAATGTTTCACACGCAATGCCAATAAAAAGTCAATTACAACAAATAAAATGCAATGATTGGATGTGTAATGGAGGAGCGTGGACTCACACAGCTGGTCTGTATGGAGCGGGGGCGGGGCTTGGAGTTGTGGGCGTGGCCGGCGGGACCTGTTTGTCCTCGGGAGCGGAGCTCCAGGGTTTCAGCCCGGGGGTGCTGGGAGAGATGGGAGTGGTGGGCTCCACCTGGGAATAACACAGGGTCAACAGTGATTTTTACATTTACACCGGGGGGGGGGGGGGGGGGGGGCACTGAGGTGAGGTTTATCGTCTCGTAAGTTCAGTTATAAGTTAGCAAAATCAATCAAATGTCAATGATGCTGTGAGTGTTGGCAGCTCATCCCTTAAAACAGAAGCTCAGATTGATTATAATAAGGAGAAATATGAAGGTTTATTTCAAGCTTGTTGTGTGAATAAGTTATTGGGCTTTTTTCAACTTAGATTTGTTAGAAAATGTTTCCAACTTTAATTGACTGAATTGATTTGAAAAGTGGGCTACTGAATACTACTGTGTAATATATGTTTACATTTATATTTAAGAAGTACAATATCAGAAAAGCACAAGTTTCATTTGTTGGCCGTATTCCATTATACTTTCAGAATTTGCTGATAGTAGTTGTTTGGGCACCGCTTTACACCTTGCAAGGTTTTATTTGGGCTTCTGGATGAAAATAGTCCACAGAGAATCAAAGATCTGATCAGATCAGATCAGATCAGATAAGATAAGATCTGATCAGATCTTATTTTATCTGATTAGATCTGATCTGATCTGATCAGATCAGATCTGATCAGATCAGATCTGATCAGATCAGATCAGATCAGATCAGATCAGATCAGATCAGATCTGATCTGATCAGATGGACCTTTGTTAATCCCTGTGGGGAAAGTCAGTAGTTGAATAGCAACAGGGTGAGAATGAAAAACAGCACAGATTAGAGATTAATACAATTACAGATCAAGATAAAAATGAAATGATATACAGTTAAGTAACTATAAAATAAGAAATGAATTAAAATGAATATATATACATATTTAGGTCATATATACATATTAGATATATTTAGATGTATGCGTGAAAACAGTGAGTATTTTATGTAATCAACACAATTATTCTTGAATCTCAATGGAGGAGTGATCTGGATTCAAGGAGTTTCATCAAATAGATTACAAAGACAATTTATTTGGAAAAAAAGATGATATTTATATTTTCTTTATTTTAGTATCTAATGTCGTCATGATGTTGGTACCTTGGGTCTTTTGATGCTGTTAGGCCCCGCCCCCTGCTCCTCAGAGTTCCTCCTCTTCCTCTGGCCGTTACCGAGGTTACTGTCCCCCCCCTCTGCAGGCGCCGCATTCAGACCTAAAGGATCAGACTGCAGACAGACAGACAGGCAGGCAGACAGGCAGACAGACAGACAGACAGACAGACAGGCAGGCAGACAGGCAGACAGACAGACAGACAGACAGACAGACAGACAGACAGACAGACAGACAGACAGACAGACAGACAGACAGACAGACAGACAGACTTTCATTAAATATCCCTTTGATGACACCTTTTGCATTTTCTGAATATCTGCTAAATCTCTTCGGCCACGTTTACACAGAGACGAAACGGGTTGTATCTGCTACAGTTCTCTATCGTATGGACGAGGCCGACACGGAAACGCGGATAACGATAACGGCACCCAAGGTGGGTAGATCTGCGGACGAAACTCTCTGGGAGGCCAAACGGCTCCGTGTGTACGGCCTATACGATCATTTCCTGATAACGATGACGTCATAGCCCCACCTCTGCTGCTCACCCCCGCCCGCGTCATTGCTGATGTGTTTCGCCAACAACAACAACAACAATGGCGGATCACAGGGTTGCGTTCGTGCTCCAGACGCTACTGACCATGATACAGATGTTAGTGCAACATCTACAGCTCCTCGACCACAACCATCAGCAACAAGTGGACATGGAGAATTACATGAACTACATGTTGCTAAGTCCACCGCGGAGAATAACCAGAAGGGCAACCAGGCAACCATGGCAACCATGCTCGGGAGGTCTTATTCGCTGCTTTTGGAGTATTTTGTGGAAGAAGTACCACTTACAGGCCCGGCATATGTACTACAGCACCTCCAGCGGTCTCGTGTGGACGGACACGTTTATTGAGCCGATACCGTGTGGACGGAAGACTTTTTTATATCGAATTCGGCTCGTTTTCGTCTCCGTGTAAACGTGGCCTTAATGATTGATGATGAATGATGTCTGATCAAAAACCTTTTTATTGCATTTCGACAATGCATAACCAGTGTTTGTCATTCAGAGATGGAAAGCAACATATATACATACAAATGAGATGGGGGTCTGTACTGATTGTATATACAAAGAGAACAAATGCCTCAAACCCACGATTATTTATCAGGAACATTGCTCAATTAATATATGATATGATGTATGATGACTAAAGAGCTGAATATAATCAAACCTATTGAGTGTTGAGACTAACTTCCTGTTGTTGTTGTTGCTGTTGTTGTTGTTGTTGTTAAACCAGACTGTTAAACCCCTGAACTTTTGAAAGAACATCCATAACATTCATCTGTTTGCAACTTACAAATTATTTATTCAATATATCATATTCCAATGACTTGTATATAGACTCTTCTTGCACTATTCTATTATATTTTATTTGTATTTACTTGCACTATTTAAAGTATTTTATGTTCATTGATATATCTACACTGTAGCTATGTACGAATGACAATAAAAGCCTTGAATCTTAAAGTAAAAGTGACTCACAATGACGTCATGCTGACCCAGCACCGGCACCTCCCACAGACTCTGATTGGTGAATCTGTTGAAATAATACGGACGGTTCTCCCTCCGAGACCAACACTTAGACCAGCCTGCCTGCACCAGTTCATCTGTAGAGAGAGAGAGACAGGTCAGAGAGCGAGAGACAGGTCAGAGAGAGAGAGACAGGTGAGAGAGGTCAGAGAGACAGGTCAGAGAGGTTAGAGAGAGAGAGACAGGTCAGAGAGACAGGTGAGGCACAGAGAGAGAGAGACAGGTCAGAGAGACAGGTGAGGCACAGAGAGAGAGAGAGAGAGAGAGAGAGAGAGACGGGTACAGAGAGACAGATAGGTTAGAGAGAGAGAGAGGGACAGGTACAGTTAGAGAGACAGGTTAGAGAGACAGGTCAGAGAGAGAGACAGGTCAGAGAGAGAGACAGACAGGTTACCTGGCAGCTCAGGTGGTTTGGTCGGAGAAAGGGGCGGAGCCTGAGAGGAGGCAGAGTCAGAGGGAGAGGCACTTGTGGCCGCCTCCCCCTTCACAGATCCCTGGCTGTCATTGGACATTTCAGCTCCTCTTCAGAATGACGTCATCGACCTGCGGAGAGGAAGAGACAGTTTAACTTTCAAAATGAAACACAGGCCGTTTCTCAATCGCGAGGATGCTGGCTTGGTCGAGCAGCCGAGCTTGTGATCTTGTACTTGAGTAAAAGTAGAAGTATTCAGATCTTGTACTTGAGTAAAAGTAGAAGTACTCAGATCTTGTACTTGAGTAAAAGTAGAAGTACCAGAGTGTAGGAATACTCTGTTACAGTAAAAGTCCTGCATTCAAAATGTTCCTCAAGTAAAAGTAGAAAAGTATTCTCATCAAAATATAGTGAAAGTAGCGACAGTAAAAGTAGTGATTGTGCAGATTGGTCCATTTCAGAATAATATATATGATATGTTTTATAATGATTGATCATGAAAGTGTTCTCAAAGCTGGTAAAGGTGCAGCTAGTTTGAATGACTTTGTATACTGCAGGGTAGCTTGTGGATTTACTCCAGGTGGAACTAAAGTCTGATTTAACACTTGGTTATATTTCACATCATTCATCCACATCTGTGAAGTAACTAAAGGTATTAAATACATGTAGTGGAGTATAAGTACACAGTAGAAACAAATTAAAATACTCAAGTTAAGTACAAGTAGCTTAGACGTGTACTTAAACTTAGGCTACATGGTTACTTTCCAGCTCTGAGAATGATGTGCTTAAGCAGCAGGTTAACAGGCATTGCACAGGAACTGTAAACACACAGAATCAAACCCAAAAGAGAGATAAACATCTAAAGGAAACAGGAATATACTACATTACTCTATGAATGAACTACAGTATGTAATAGTGTACTGTAGTGACGGTGTCAGACCGTGTGAATGTGGCGGTAAACTGAATGATATTTAGATTCAATCTGATCACAGAAATCAAAATGTCGATACAAAGCCCAGTTAACACTCAGTGTGTATCAAGTGTTGAATCAGAGCTTTATGGGTGTTATTTATTTGATCATAAAGCTTCTTGTTTTGCTCTCATACGCAGGATTGAGCGCTCCGACTACGCGCATGCGCAGAGCAGCTTTCCAAACAAACACGGAGGAGAAGAAGGGGGGAGTAAAAGAGGGAGGGGGAGTAAACACAAAGCTGCGGCTGCTCTCCGGGCTCAACACTCGGTCTCAGACGCGCTCACAGCCGGTCCACAGCGGGCCGAACCGGGCTATATTAATTTAAAAACCCGGACTAGGGATAATGCTGCCTGTATTTCTCTCCGTTTAGTACATTAACTGCGGCCCGCGCGCGGAGCGACAGCTGCTGTTTGGGCGCCACTTCTCTCACAAGATGGCGGACACGCCCCTGCCACAGCGCAGCGCTCCCGCTCCGTGTTTTTAATGTTTTTCTACAGACTTAAGCCGCTCTACGGACCGGGAGTCAAGCTCCTCAGAGAGAGGACACCTTCCGCCGCATGTCGGTACCTGGAGAGTGTCTCTGCGGGGCTGCCGGTGCTTACCTTGCTTGTTTAAGTAGCGCAGAGTCTGTGGTTCTGTCCTCTTGTTTCTGTTCCTTCGCTCTCTCCCTCCCCGCCGCTCAGACATCTTTACAGGGAGCACGGGAGACACACTGCGCATGCGCAACGGGTGTCCCGCTTCCTGTTTACAAACGTCTTGTCCGTGCCGCCATTTTGAGCAGGTCATAACATATAAAAATACAATACAGCGTTATTTAAAAGCCCTATAAAGCCTGTTAGTGCTGCACAGAGAAACAAATAAATAAAATACAAATATATGAGGACGTGTGTGTATGTGTGAGTTTTCAGTGGGTTCTGTTGTGAATAAAACAGTCATTTATTTTTTAAAGGTTTTCAGATATATATATTTTTATTTAAAAGGGGACCTATCATGCAAAATGCACTTTTGTACGTCTTTGATACATGAATATGTGTTCCAGGGAACTCACCAAGTGTCAGAAAACACAACCCTCTCTATTTTCCTCCATACCCAAATCTCTAAAAAAGGGGCTGCAACAGATCTGATAAAAACTGATCCAGATTTGAACACTGTCCTGACGTCAGGACGGTGGCGCTACGGCTATTGGGCCAACTCTCCACCTATCAGGGGAATGTGGGCTTGGGCCACGGCCGGCCATTGCTGCTCGAAAGCGCTGGAGACGCTGTAGTACACATGCCAGGCCTGTAAGTGGCGCTGTAGTCTGCCACAAAAGCAGCGAAGAAGACTTCCCACCCATAGTTACCATGGTTACCCTTCTGTTTATTCTCCGCTGTGGCTTTTTTTCTCCCTCCCCGAGGCAAGCGTTTTCTCCCGCTGCAATGCAATTTATTGTCAAAGCATTTAATGTATTCATTGGGAATGTTAAGAGCATTCCATGGAATATAACAAAAAGTGTATCTGAAGTGAATTACCTACTCCACCTTTAATATATGTATTCATAGTTGAATGACTTAAACCCGGGATGTCCCAACTGTGGCCCGTTGTCCATCGCAACTGAGGATCCAGTTCAACATACCCTGGATATGTTTGAGTTGATTCACATCTATTCAAAAGCTAAAGTTGCCTGGAATAGGCTCACACTCAACATGAAGAGTCTAAATGAAGCTCAACCCCAATAAAAGAAGTACTGACATTTTGTGCACATTTGATTGCATTATATTTCTACTTTCACACAATTATTTTTTAGGTCTTTACTGAACTTTCTTTTAAATTATTTTGGTTGTGTTTGGTCTTTGAATCCCCATGCATCTGCCCTGCTAATACTGCTTCTGGGGAACAAATACAGTTATATACCATGGTGTATAGTTTGTGCTATAGTGTGTGTTTCTCAAACATACCCAAGATCACAACAGGCCCTTTAGGGTGAAGCTGGGTGATGAGTTTGGCCCTCTTCTCGTTCCAGAAGTCCTTTATACTGTCCACACAGTAGGAGTCCTGGATTCTGAAGAAGGAGGACCTCTCCACCATCCCCATTTTCATGAACCGGAAAAGTAGTGAAATCTTGGCATAGTTGTTGCCAGAGAGCAGTATGTTACTGGCCAACATGAAGTCCCCAACCAGCATCCCATACTTTAAAGCGGGCTGGGAACTCCATTTCCATACAGTGTGACCATGAAGACACATCTAAAAAAAGACATAGGTGGAGAAGACAGCACAGTACTTTAACAACAGTTACTACTGCTTGTATGACACGTATGCAGCATTCAGTCCAAAACGTGTAATGCCAAATGATGCCAAACAAATACACACCCATTCAACGATAGCTGCTGTGCCCCTGGACTTGACACTGATTTCAAATGGCCTAGGAGCACGGCACTCGACATTGGTTTTAGGCCCTTAGCGGTGCACATGTTCACAGGCAGAACCAGATATTTGGCCAGTTGGTGGAGACTGTCATGATACACAATGTATCGAACAATAGTTGGATTAATATTGATTAGAGTGCACAATAGAAATAAAATAATTCAGAGAAGAAAAAGAGATATGTTATCTATCAAAACCCAGTTAGATTAACATTCATTGGATTGCACACTTTGTTTGTTTGTGTGGATATGTAGCACATTAACATGTTAAATAGCACTTAATGACTGACTGGATGGAAATGACAATAAATGAAAATGTAAAACGAAAAAAGCGATCACGAAAATGTTTCCAATAAATGAATGAAATAATTTTTGACCACTTAGTTGTTCAGATATATCACATATTTGTAACTGAATGATGCATTCATTGAAACAGAACACGGTATAAACTGAGGAGTGAGTCCAAGGCCGTAACCATGGAGTCAACATTGGGGGGGACCAAAAATGAAATCAAAATGTTAATACTTTTGTATATGTTTATTTCATTATCTTTTATTTTTAATGACTGATTTTAAATGCCATTTTCTTAATGTCTTCCATTTTTGTAAAGCACTTTGAATTGCCTTGTGTTGAAAGGTGCTATATAAATAAACTTGCCTTGCCTTGCCTTACTAATTTCCTGCCATTCTAAAGGAAAATATATAAAAATGCACTAACACATGGGATACTTTAAAACCTGTTAAACCCCATGCAAAAAAAAAAAAGTTGAATGTTGAAGTTTAAAGCATCAATCTGGTGCACTTTGAGAGCAACATGAGAGATCTATGGATACATCTCTCAACACCATATGAAACAGAACTGTAAACAGATTGACTTTTTCTTTATGGATATTTTACAAATCACTCCCCTAGTTACTATTCCTGAAAAGTTCGGTTTTAACATCAGAACTACAAGTTATTTACACAAAGAAGCTAAATCGGAGGGTTCATTAACATTACCATTACGAAATAAAATAATATGGATTACTTTAGGGCTAACTAGAAAAGATACCAGAACTGATGGAGGGCAAATTAAAACATGACTGACCTGCTTGGAGCATCAACGCTAACTGGAGCTGGACTCGGACGTGCGACAGCGAAATACACCCCCGGGTACAAAATAAAGGTATGCATAAACAAACAAAGGCGGAACCAATTTACATATGAAAAGAATATATCATTTTGGTGAAGAAAATAAAGATTTTCAAGTATTCAAATTGCCAAAATAAAAAAGCCATAGAATAGCAATTTTATTTAAAAAAAATTATATCAGTTAGGCTATATATTGGGGGGGGACATTTTGAGCGTGAATATTGGATGTGTCCCATGTGGCTCTCATGTCAAGAAGCATCAGATCAGTGCATGCGCTGCATACAATAAATACATTTGTATTGATTTGAAGATCTTTTCATACAATCATACGTATTGGGATCATTTGTATTAATGTGGACCGGAGAATATGTTTCTCTGTTGTCCCCGTTCATAAAGCAACAGCATCAGAGCACGGTGCAGAGTCTCTAGATGAGTTTACAGTAGTCCCTCGTTCTTATTAAACATCCATGTTGTAGTCCCAGTGGCTTAACAAGGTTGTGATTGGCCCTCCAACTTTCGTATCAGTCCGTGACGTCACCCGGCCCAAAACAACTTTTTCCCATTGACTAATGGGGAAAGAGACGTCTGTAAATCAGCGGATACTTTTTATTAAACTAAATAAACTAGCCAGTATGAACTATTTTATAGCCCTTATTAGAATCATTCGGTCATTAAAGTTGTAAAATGCACTAAAAGCCGAATCTAAATTTATTTTCTCTCTCCATTCATTCTACTGAGCCGAGAGTGGGAGCTCGGGGGGCGGGGCTTAAAGACTGGAGGCGGTGCTTAAGGGGTGCATGCTCTGTGAGCGCACATTCGGGGTGTTTCTCAATCGCGAGTAAAGCTGCTTCAGAGCCACTATTTCAAGCATACTACGTCATCGAGTGCCGCCGAAGTACTGTTCCAATCTCCAGCATACTTGGAAATCTACCGAGCCCGGCGTACTCCGTTTAGAGAAATATCGAGGCTGCACATGAGTAGACTTCGCGGTCTTAAAATCCCCACAATGCTTTGCGCACGGACCAATTTCCCCAAATCTGTGGCGGAAGATGTAAGAGGCGGGGCCTCTCATATGACGCACACCTGCACACTTGCTAGCGTGTTCCACTCTTTGTTTTCCGAATGCCAGGAAGTATTCTTGACTCGCTTCTGAAGCAAGATGCTCGGCAGACATGTGCTACCAAGCAAGCGTACTCGACATTGAGGAACACCCACAGGTTCTTCTGCTCTGACAGCCAGGCATGATGGGTAATCTGTGACGTTTTGCTCTCTCAAAAGTTGGGCCATTTTGTCATCATGCGCCAATGAGCAGCTCTCATAGGAAAGAACGAGACCCCGCCTCCCACGCTGTATCCAGTTCTTATTATACATCCATGAGGCTGACAGGCAGGTAGGCCATCCAGTTATTTTAGCCGGGCCGGCTCAGATGATTGGTCGTGCTTTTTACAGCGCCACGGCTTCCACAGATGATATTTTGTCATGTATTTATTGTCAAAGCATTTAATGTATTCATTGCTATCGGGATGTTCAGAGCATTCCATGGAATATAACAAAAAGTGTTTCTGAAGTGAATTACCTACCCCACCTTTAAGTACATTTTTCTAGTATCAGTACTTTACTCCACTACTTATTTTTCTGACGACTTTTTACTTTCTACTTCTTACATTTTCCACACAGGTTCGTTACTTTAGTTTTAATCTGCGTTTCATTACATTTATTAGTGCTTTACATTACATATTACACATATCACACATGGAACAATGAATACAGCAAATTAGGGTGAAGGGTGTCGCCCACAAACAAAGTTATGGGTACTTTTTACTTAAGTACATTTCGAAGCCCATACTTCTTTACTTTTAAGAAGTTTAGTCAGTACTTCTACTTTTACCAGAGTATTTTCAAACACGAGTATCTGTACTTCTACTTGAGTAAAGGATGTGTGTACTTTTGCCATCTCTGCACCCGGGTCTATATCATGCAGGGTGGCGGTCATGTGACCCTGGTCCTGAAGGTCGTTCAGAGGTCAGATGCTCTCGCGCTGCAGCAGCAGGTCGACGGCCGCCTCCACGTCCTCCACCAGGTGATGCGGCTCCACCAGGTCCTGGTCTAGCTGCAGGTCCTCAGGTGGAGGGGAGCGAGGGTTGTAGACACCTGTGCACACCTGAAGAAACCCCTGTGTTAACTTTTAAACATCACCATGTGTCCCCGGTGTGTCCCCCGGTGTGTCCCCGGTGTGTCCCCCATGTGTCCCCGGTGTGTGTCCGGTGTGTGTCCGGTGTGTGTCCGGTGTGTCCCCCACAAAGTGTCCGAAAATAAACCCCTCTCTCTTTTCCTCCGTACCCACATCTCTAAAAACGGGGGAACAACGGAGCTGATCCAGATTTGCTGCGTCATGACGACATTACTCAAATGTGGGCGGGCTTTACACCCACGGGCCAATCAGAAACGTTGCTGTCAGAAACAATGAGACGTGTTCTGTAAGTAATATGGTCTGTGTTTACATTAGCATGCTAACACTCAGAGCTAACCTGTACTGGAGAGAGCATGTGTGAAGAAGCAGGAAATCAAAAGGAAGTCACCTTGTGGTAAACCTGAGAGAGAAAGAGTTTGAGCTCCATACTGTTTCAGAGAGAATCCTTGATGTGGTTTGGAACATGATATGGAGTTTAATCACCGCAGCATTTAGCTGAGTTTCTGCTGGGAGAGTTCTCCTGATGAGATCTACTCTCTCTCTGAAGCTACTGACCCAGAGTCAGCTCTTTAGTAACAGCTGGAAGAGAGGGGGGGGGCTACAATGATCTGTTTGGGGTTTGGAGCAAAACACTTCAGAGACATGTTTTTTATATATTTGTATATATGTGAGACCCATAATATATGCCTAAAAATAGTATGATAGGAGACCTTTAAAGCAATCAGACGTTGTGTATTTGTAATGGTTTCACAAAGGAGGTCACCCACCAGTATGGAGCGACACTCAGATGACACCAGCGCCTCCTCCGTCACATGACTTCCCGTTCCCTGGGCAACGAGCTTAGTGGGCGTCATCATGGCGGCGTGCTGCTGCCCCAGGTAACGGTTGTACAGGTTAGCACCGTAGATATCCGTCATCAGGTTGTCGCTAGGCAACAAGAAGAGGGTTTGGTTAACTGACTGTTATTGAAGGTGTGGTTAAGGTGTAAGTGAGGGTGTGGTTACAGTGTTATTGGGGGTGTGTTTACAGTGTTATTGAGGGTGTGTTTACAGTGTTATTGAAGGTGTGGTTAAGGTGTTATCGAGGGTGTGTTTACAGTGTTATTGAGGGTGTGTTTACAGTGTTATTGAAGGTGTGTTTACAGTGTTATCGAAGGTGTGTTTACAGTGTTATCGAGGGTGTGTTTACAGTGTTATCGAGGGTGTGGTTACAGTGTTATCGAGGGTGTGGTTACAGTGTTATTGAGGGTGTGTTTACAGTGTTATTGAGGGTGTGTTTACAGTGTTATTGAGGGTGTGGTTACAGTGTTATTGAGGATGTGGTTACAGTGTTATTGAGGGTGTGTTTACAGTGTTATTGAAGGTGTGGTTAAGGTGTTATCGAGGGTGTGTTTACAGTGTTATTGAGGGTGTGTTTACAGTGTTATTGAAGGTGTGTTTACAGTGTTATCGAAGGTGTGTTTACAGTGTTATCGAGGGTGTGTTTACAGTGTTATCGAGGGTGTGGTTACAGTGTTATTGAGGGTGTGTTTACAGTGTTATTGAAGGTGTGGTTAAGGTGTTATTGAGGGTGTGTTTACAGTGTTATTGAAGGTGTGGTTAAGGTGTTATTGAGGGTGTGTTTACAGTGTTATTGAGGGTGTGTTTACAGTGTTATTGAGGGTGTGGTTACAGTGTTATCGAGGGTGTGTTTACAGTGTTATTGAGGGTGTGGTTACAGTGTTATTGAGGGTGTGTTTACAGTGTTATTGAAGGTGTGGTTAAGGTGTTATCGAGGGTGTGTTTACAGTGTTATTGAGGGTGTGTTTACAGTGTTATTGAGGGTGTGTTTACAGTGTTATTGAAGGTGTGGTTAAGGTGTTATCGAGGGTGTGTTTACAGTGTTATTGAGGGTGTGTTTACAGTGTTATTGAGGGTGTGTTTACAGTGTTATTGAAGGTGTGGTTAAGGTGTTATCGAGGGTGTGTTTACAGTGTTATTGAGGGTGTGTTTACAGTGTTATTGAAGGTGTGGTTACAGTGTTATTGAGGGTGTGTTTACAGTGTTATTGAGGGTGTGGTTACAGTGTTATTGAGGGTGTGTTTACAGTGTTATTGAGGGTGTGTTACAGTGTTATTGAGGGTCTGTTTACAGTGTTATTGAAGGTGTGGTTACAGTGTTATTGAGGGTGTGTTTACAGTGTTATTGAGGGTGTGTTTACAGTGTTATTGAGGGTGTGTTTACAGTGTTATTGAAGGTGTGGTTAAGGTGTTATCGAGGGTGTGTTTACAGTGTTATTGAGGGTGTGTTTACAGTGTTATTGAGGGTGTGTTTACAGTGTTATTGAGGGTGTAGTTACAGTGTTATTGAGGGTGTGGTTACAGTGTTATTGAAGGTGTGGTTACAGTGTTATTGAAGGTGTGGTTAAGGTGTTATCGAGGGTGTGTTTACAGTGTTATTGAGGGTGTGTTTACAGTGTTATTGAGGGTGTGTTTACAGTGTTATTGAGGGTGTAGTTACAGTGTTATTGAGGGTGTGTTTACAGTGTTATTGAGGGTGTGTTTACAGTGTTATTGAGGGTGTGTTTACAGTGTTATTGAGGGTGTGTTTACAGTGTTATTGAGGGTGTGGTTACAGTGTTATTGAGGGTGTGTTTACAGTGTTATTGAGGGTGTGTTTACAGTGTTATTGAGGGTGTGTTTACAGTGTTATTGAGGGTGTGTTTACAGTGTTATTGAAGGTGTGGTTAAGGTGTTATCGAGGGTGTGTTTACAGTGTTATTGAGGGTGTGTTTACAGTGTTATTGAGGGTGTGTTTACAGTGTTATTGAAGGTGTGGTTAAGGTGTTATCGAGGGTGTGTTTACAGTGTTATTGAGGGTGTGTTTACAGTGTTATCGAGTGTGTGTTTACAGTGTTATCGAAGGTGTGGTTACAGTGTTATTGAGGGTGTGTTTACAGTGTTATTGAGGGTGTGTTTACAGTGTTATTGAGGGTGTGTTTACAGTGTTATTGAAGGTGTGGTTAAGGTGTTATCGAGGGTGTGTTTACAGTGTTATTGAGGGTGTGTTTACAGTGTTATTGAGGGTGTGTTTACAGTGTTATTGAGGGTGTGTTTACAGTGTTATTGAAGGTGTGGTTAAGGTGTTATTGAGGGTGTGTTTACAGTGTTATTGAAGGTGTGTTTACAGTGTTATTGAGGGTGTGTTTACAGTGTTATTGAAGGTGTGTTTACAGTGTTATTGAGGGTGTGTTTACAGTGTTATTGAGGGTGTGTTTACAGTGTTATTGAAGGTGTGGTTACAGTGTTATTGAGGGTGTGGTTAAGGTGTTATCGAGGGTGTGTTTACAGTGTTATTGAGGGTGTGTTTACAGTGTTATTGAGGGTGTGTTTACAGTGTTATTGAAGGTGTGGTTAAGGTGTTATCGAGGGTGTGTTTACAGTGTTATTGAGGGTGTGTTTACAGTGTTATTGAGGGTGTGTTTACAGTGTTATTGAGGGTGTGTTTACAGTGTTATTGAAGGTGTGGTTAAGGTGTTATCGAGGGTGTGTTTACAGTGTTATTGAGGGTGTGGTTACAGTGTTATCGAAGGTGTGGTTACAGTGTTATTGAAGGTGTGGTTAAGGTGTTATCGAGGGTGTGTTTACAGTGTTATTGAGGGTGTGTTTACAGTGTTATTGAGGGTGTGTTTACAGTGTTATTGAGGGTGTGGTTACAGTGTTATCGAGTGTGTGTTTACAGTGTTATCGAAGGTGTGGTTACAGTGTTATTGAGGGTGTGTTTACAGTGTTATTGAGGGTGTGTTTACAGTGTTATTGAGGGTGTGTTTACAGTGTTATTGAGGGTGTGGTTACAGTGTTATCGAGTGTGTGTTTACAGTGTTATCGAAGGTGTGTTTACAGTGTTATTGAAGGTGTGGTTACAGTGTTATTGAAGGTGTGGTTAAGGTGTTATCGAGGGTGTGTTTACAGTGTTATCGAAGGTGTGGTTACAGTGTTATTGAGGGTGTGTTTACAGTGTTATTGAGGGTGTGTTTACAGTGTTATTGAAGGTGTGGTTAAGGTGTTATCGAGGGTGTGTTTACAGTGTTATCGAAGGTGTGGTTACAGTGTTATTGAAGGTGTGGTTAAGGTGTTATTGAGGGTGTGTTTACAGTGTTATTGAGGGTGTGTTTACAGTGTTATTGAGGGTGTGTTTACAGTGTTATTGAGGGTGTGTTTACAGTGTTATTGAAGGTGTGGTTAAGGTGTTATCGAGGGTGTGTTTACAGTGTTATCGAAGGTGTGTTTACAGTGTTATTGAAGGTGTGGTTAAGGTGTTATTGAGGGTGTGTTTACAGTGTTATTGAGGGTGTGTTTACAGTGTTATTGAGGGTGTGTTTACAGTGTTATTGAGGGTGTGTTTACAGTGTTATTGAAGGTGTGGTTAAGGTGTTATTGAGGGTGTGTTTACAGTGTTATTGAAGGTGTGTTTACAGTGTTATTGAGGGTGTGTTTACAGTGTTATTGAGGGTGTGTTTACAGTGTTATTGAGGGTGTGTTTACAGTGTTATTGAAGGTGTGGTTACAGTGTTATTGAGGGTGTGTTTACAGTGTTATTGAGGGGTGTGTTTACAGTGTTATTGAGGGTGTGTTTACAGTGTTATTGAAGGTGTGGTTAAGGTGTTATCGAGGGTGTGTTTACAGTGTTATTGAGGGTGTGTTTACAGTGTTATTGAGGGTGTGTTTACAGTGTTATTGAGGGTGTAGTTACAGTGTTATTGAGGGTGTGGTTACAGTGTTATTGAAGGTGTGGTTACAGTGTTATTGAAGGTGTGGTTAAGGTGTTATCGAGGGTGTGTTTACAGTGTTATTGAGGGTGTGGTTACAGTGTTATTGAGGGTGTGTTTACAGTGTTATTGAGGGTGTGTTTACAGTGTTATTGAGGGTGTGTTTACAGTGTTATTGAGGGTGTGTTTACAGTGTTATTGAGGGTGTGTTTACAGTGTTATTGAAGGTGTGTTTACAGTGTTATTGAAGGTGTGGTTAAGGTGTTATCGAGGGTGTGTTTACAGTGTTATTGAGGGTGTGTTTACAGTGTTATTGAGGGTGTGTTTACAGTGTTATTGAGGGTGTAGTTACAGTGTTATTGAGGGTGTGTTTACAGTGTTATTGAGGGTGTGTTTACAGTGTTATTGAGGGTGTGTTTACAGTGTTATTGAGGGTGTGTTTACAGTGTTATTGAGGGTGTAGTTACAGTGTTATTGAGGGTGTGTTTACAGTGTTATTGAGGGTGTGTTTACAGTGTTATTGAGGGTGTGTTTACAGTGTTATTGAGGGTGTGTTTACAGTGTTATTGAAGGTGTGGTTAAGGTGTTATCGAGGGTGTGTTTACAGTGTTATTGAGGGTGTGTTTACAGTGTTATTGAGGGTGTGTTTACAGTGTTATTGAAGGTGTGGTTAAGGTGTTATCGAGGGTGTGTTTACAGTGTTATTGAGGGTGTGTTTACAGTGTTATCGAGTGTGTGTTTACAGTGTTATCGAAGGTGTGGTTACAGTGTTATTGAGGGTGTGTTTACAGTGTTATTGAGGGTGTGTTTACAGTGTTATTGAAGGTGTGGTTAAGGTGTTATCGAGGGTGTGTTTACAGTGTTATTGAGGGTGTGTTTACAGTGTTATTGAGGGTGTGTTTACAGTGTTATTGAGGGTGTGTTTACAGTGTTATTGAAGGTGTGGTTAAGGTGTTATTGAGGGTGTGTTTACAGTGTTATTGAAGGTGTGTTTACAGTGTTATTGAGGGTGTGTTTACAGTGTTATTGAAGGTGTGTTTACAGTGTTATTGAGGGTGTGTTTACAGTGTTATTGAGGGTGTGTTTACAGTGTTATTGAAGGTGTGGTTACAGTGTTATTGAGGGTGTGGTTAAGGTGTTATCGAGGGTGTGTTTACAGTGTTATTGAGGGTGTGTTTACAGTGTTATTGAGGGTGTGTTTACAGTGTTATTGAAGGTGTGGTTAAGGTGTTATCGAGGGTGTGTTTACAGTGTTATTGAGGGTGTGTTTACAGTGTTATTGAGGGTGTCTTTACAGTGTTATTGAGGGTGTGTTTACAGTGTTATTGAAGGTGTGGTTAAGGTGTTATCGAGGGTGTGTTTACAGTGTTATTGAGGGTGTGGTTACAGTGTTATCGAGTGTGTGTTTACAGTGTTATTGAAGGTGTGGTTAAGGTGTTATCGAGGGTGTGTTTACAGTGTTATTGAGGGTGTGTTTACAGTGTTATCGAAGGTGTGGTTACAGTGTTATTGAAGGTGTGGTTAAGGTGTTATCGAGGGTGTGTTTACAGTGTTATTGAGGGTGTGTTTACAGTGTTATTGAGGGTGTGTTTACAGTGTTATTGAGGGTGTGGTTACAGTGTTATCGAGTGTGTGTTTACAGTGTTATCGAAGGTGTGGTTACAGTGTTATTGAGGGTGTGTTTACAGTGTTATTGAGGGTGTGTTTACAGTGTTATTGAGGGTGTGTTTACAGTGTTATTGAGGGTGTGGTTACAGTGTTATCGAGTGTGTGTTTACAGTGTTATCGAAGGTGTGTTTACAGTGTTATTGAAGGTGTGGTTACAGTGTTATTGAAGGTGTGGTTAAGGTGTTATCGAGGGTGTGTTTACAGTGTTATCGAAGGTGTGGTTACAGTGTTATTGAAGGTGTGGTTACAGTGTTATTGAGGGTGTGGTTAAGGTGTTATCGAGGGTGTGTTTACAGTGTTATTGAGGGTGTGTTTACAGTGTTATTGAGGGTGTGTTTACAGTGTTATTGAAGGTGTGGTTAAGGTGTTATCGAGGGTGTGTTTACAGTGTTATTGAGGGTGTGTTTACAGTGTTATTGAGGGTGTCTTTACAGTGTTATTGAGGGTGTGTTTACAGTGTTATTGAAGGTGTGGTTAAGGTGTTATCGAGGGTGTGTTTACAGTGTTATTGAGGGTGTGGTTACAGTGTTATCGAAGGTGTGGTTACAGTGTTATTGAAGGTGTGGTTAAGGTGTTATCGAGGGTGTGTTTACAGTGTTATTGAGGGTGTGTTTACAGTGTTATTGAGGGTGTGTTTACAGTGTTATTGAGGGTGTGGTTACAGTGTTATCGAGTGTGTGTTTACAGTGTTATCGAAGGTGTGGTTACAGTGTTATTGAGGGTGTGTTTACAGTGTTATTGAGGGTGTGTTTACAGTGTTATTGAGGGTGTGTTTACAGTGTTATTGAGGGTGTGGTTACAGTGTTATCGAGTGTGTGTTTACAGTGTTATCGAAGGTGTGTTTACAGTGTTATTGAAGGTGTGGTTACAGTGTTATTGAAGGTGTGGTTAAGGTGTTATCGAGGGTGTGTTTACAGTGTTATCGAAGGTGTGGTTACAGTGTTATTGAGGGTGTGTTTACAGTGTTATTGAGGGTGTGTTTACAGTGTTATTGAAGGTGTGGTTAAGGTGTTATCGAGGGTGTGTTTACAGTGTTATCGAAGGTGTGGTTACAGTGTTATTGAAGGTGTGGTTAAGGTGTTATTGAGGGTGTGTTTACAGTGTTATTGAGGGTGTGTTTACAGTGTTATTGAGGGTGTGTTTACAGTGTTATTGAGGGTGTGTTTACAGTGTTATTGAAGGTGTGGTTAAGGTGTTATCGAGGGTGTGTTTACAGTGTTATCGAAGGTGTGTTTACAGTGTTATTGAAGGTGTGGTTAAGGTGTTATTGAGGGTGTGTTTACAGTGTTATTGAGGGTGTGTTTACAGTGTTATTGAGGGTGTGTTTACAGTGTTATTGAGGGTGTGTTTACAGTGTTATTGAAGGTGTGGTTAAGGTGTTATTGAGGGTGTGTTTACAGTGTTATTGAAGGTGTGTTTACAGTGTTATTGAGGGTGTGTTTACAGTGTTATTGAGGGTGTGTTTACAGTGTTATTGAGGGTGTGTTTACAGTGTTATTGAAGGTGTGGTTACAGTGTTATTGAGGGTGTGTTTACAGTGTTATTGAGGGTGTGTTTACAGTGTTATTGAGGGTGTGTTTACAGTGTTATTGAAGGTGTGGTTAAGGTGTTATCGAGGGTGTGTTTACAGTGTTATTGAGGGTGTGTTTACAGTGTTATTGAGGGTGTGTTTTACAGTGTTATTGAGGGTGTAGTTACAGTGTTATTGAGGGTGTGGTTACAGTGTTATTGAAGGTGTGGTTACAGTGTTATTGAAGGTGTGGTTAAGGTGTTATCGAGGGTGTGTTTACAGTGTTATTGAGGGTGTGGTTACAGTGTTATTGAGGGTGTGTTTACAGTGTTATTGAGGGTGTGTTTACAGTGTTATTGAGGGTGTGTTTACAGTGTTATTGAGGGTGTGTTTACAGTGTTATTGAGGGTGTGTTTACAGTGTTATTGAAGGTGTGTTTACAGTGTTATTGAAGGTGTGGTTAAGGTGTTATCGAGGGTGTGTTTACAGTGTTATTGAGGGTGTGTTTACAGTGTTATTGAGGGTGTGTTTACAGTGTTATTGAGGGTGTGTTTACAGTGTTATTGAGGGTGTGTTTACAGTGTTATTGAGGGTGTGTTTACAGTGTTATTGAGGGTGTGTTTACAGTGTTATTGAGGGTGTAGTTACAGTGTTATTGAGGGTGTGTTTACAGTGTTATTGAGGGTGTGTTTACAGTGTTATTGAGGGTGTGTTTACAGTGTTATTGAGGGTGTGTTTACAGTGTTATTGAAGGTGTGGTTAAGGTGTTATCGAGGGTGTGTTTACAGTGTTATTGAGGGTGTGTTTACAGTGTTATTGAGGGTGTGTTTACAGTGTTATTGAAGGTGTGGTTAAGGTGTTATCGAGGGTGTGTTTACAGTGTTATTGAGGGTGTGTTTACAGTGTTATCGAGTGTGTGTTTACAGTGTTATCGAAGGTGTGGTTACAGTGTTATTGAGGGTGTGTTTACAGTGTTATTGAGGGTGTGTTTACAGTGTTATTGAAGGTGTGGTTAAGGTGTTATCGAGGGTGTGTTTACAGTGTTATTGAGGGTGTTGTTTACAGTGTTATTGAGGGTGTGTTTACAGTGTTATTGAGGGTGTGTTTACAGTGTTATTGAAGGTGTGGTTAAGGTGTTATTGAGGGTGTGTTTACAGTGTTATTGAGGGTGTGTTTACAGTGTTATTGAGGGTGTGTTTACAGTGTTATTGAGGGTGTGTTTACAGTGTTATTGAGGGTGTGTTTACAGTGTTATTGAGGGTGTGTTTACAGTGTTATTGAAGGTGTGGTTACAGTGTTATTGAGGGTGTGGTTAAGGTGTTATCGAGGGTGTGTTTACAGTGTTATTGAGGGTGTGTTTACAGTGTTATTGAGGGTGTGTTTACAGTGTTATTGAAGGTGTGGTTAAGGTGTTATCGAGGGTGTGTTTACAGTGTTATTGAGGGTGTGTTTACAGTGTTATTGAGGGTGTCTTTACAGTGTTATTGAGGGTGTGTTTACAGTGTTATTGAAGGTGTGGTTAAGGTGTTATCGAGGGTGTGTTTACAGTGTTATTGAGGGTGTGGTTACAGTGTTATCGAGTGTGTGTTTACAGTGTTATTGAAGGTGTGGTTAAGGTGTTATCGAGGGTGTGTTTACAGTGTTATTGAGGGTGTGTTTACAGTGTTATCGAAGGTGTGGTTACAGTGTTATTGAAGGTGTGGTTAAGGTGTTATCGAGGGTGTGTTTACAGTGTTATTGAGGGTGTGTTTACAGTGTTATTGAGGGTGTGTTTACAGTGTTATTGAGGGTGTGGTTACAGTGTTATCGAGTGTGTGTTTACAGTGTTATCGAAGGTGTGGTTACAGTGTTATTGAGGGTGTGTTTACAGTGTTATTGAGGGTGTGTTTACAGTGTTATTGAGGGTGTGTTTACAGTGTTATTGAGGGTGTGGTTACAGTGTTATCGAGTGTGTGTTTACAGTGTTATCGAAGGTGTGTTTACAGTGTTATTGAAGGTGTGGTTACAGTGTTATTGAAGGTGTGGTTAAGGTGTTATCGAGGGTGTGTTTACAGTGTTATCGAAGGTGTGGTTACAGTGTTATTGAAGGTGTGGTTAAGGTGTTATTGAGGGTGTGTTTACAGTGTTATTGAGGGTGTGTTTACAGTGTTATTGAAGGTGTGGTTAAGGTGTTATCGAGGGTGTGTTTACAGTGTTATCGAAGGTGTGGTTAAGGTGTTATTGAGGGTGTGTTTACAGTGTTATTGAGGGTGTGTTTACAGTGTTATTGAGGGTGTGTTTACAGTGTTATTGAGGGTGTGTTTACAGTGTTATTGAAGGTGTGGTTAAGGTGTTATTGAGGGTGTGTTTACAGTGTTATTGAAGGTGTGTTTACAGTGTTATTGAGGGTGTGTTTACAGTGTTATTGAAGGTGTGGTTAAGGTGTTATTGAGGGTGTGTTTACAGTGTTATTGAAGGTGTGTTTACAGTGTTATTGAAGGTGTGGTTACAGTGTTATTGAGGGTGTGTTTACAGTGTTATTGAAGGTGTGTTTACAGTGTTATTGAGGGTGTGTTTACAGTGTTATTGAGGGTGTGTTTACAGTGTTATTGAAGGTGTGGTTACAGTGTTATTGAGGGTGTGTTTACAGTGTTATTGAAGGTGTGTTTACAGTGTTATTGAGGGTGTGTTTACAGTGTTATTGAGGGTGTGTTTACAGTGGTATTGAAGGTGTAGTTACCCAATGGCGTAGATGGTGCTGATCTTGTGGTTGTGGTTCTGCAGTCGGAGCAGTTTCTCTGCGTACTGGTAGGTCAGCAGGTTGGGTTTTCCCAGCAGCGCCTCGTACTGCAGCTCACGACCCGCCAACTTCCTGTAGACGGACTCCAGACACAGCAGGAACACCCCGTGACCGAACCTACGGAAACACAACGGGGTCAAACCAGATCAAACCTACGGAAACACAACGGGGTCAAACCAGACCAAACCTACGGAAACACAACGGGGTCAAACCAGATCAAACCTACGGAAACACAACGGGGTCAAACCAGACCAAACCCTTCATATTTCCCCTTATGATCAGCAATCTGAAGCTCCTCTTTTGGATGTAGGGCTGCTGCTTGTTTTCTTAAAGTATATTCAATCATCAGGCATAATTGACCTACATTTGATTGATTTTGCTCACTTATAACTGAACTTATGAGGCAATATACCTCACCTTTAGCTAGTGGCCCAGACATTCATGAGAAAACACCCCTGACTTAAACAATTACTCTATTTATTAAAAGCATTTTACCAGCTTTTATTTGTTAGTGAAGAACAACATTTGCTCGGAAACAGCGGGGTTAGGGTTAGGGTTAGGATAAAACAGCGGGGTCAAACCGGACCAGACCAACGGACGTTTTTTATGTCGTAGAATAAAAATCTCTTCAGCTTGTGTTAACCACAGACCTGGGATCTTTTCATACAATCATACGTATTGGGATCATTTGTATTAATGTGGACCGGAGGGAGAGGGTGACGAGCATAAGTTTCACTTTCCTTTTTTATTTCAATTCCAACTTTGGTCATGAAGAATATGTTTCTCTGTTGTCCCCGTTCATAAAGCATAACAGCATCAGAGCACGGTGCAGAGTCTCTAGATGAGTTTACAGTAGTCCCTCGTTCTTATTAAACATCCATGTTGTAGTCCGCTGTATAGAAAACTGTAGTTTCCATAGTTTCCCCACAGCAGCAGACGCACATTCATGACGTCCGCTGGCGCATCATAAACACGTCGGATAGTGAGAGTGCAGTCGATTCTCTAAAGTACCGCAGTCTCTTCTCCTAAGTCCTTTTGAATTCTCCTATCCACTATCCCTTAACCCCGTGACCTTTCACTCAGAGGTCAAGGGATAGACGATAGGGTTAGAACTTAGGAGCTGATTTTTGGGTTATTCGACAACAAAAAACACAATCAGAAAAACCTTTGTTCTTTCATCACAGGAAGTGACATCACAGGAAGTGACATCACAGGAGGTGATGAAATGCTGACTCATGTCATGGTTAAGGACTCATAATGCTGACTCATTCCTGCTGCTCCCTATACCAGACTTCCTGTTTGTGTGGTTACCTTGGTGACGGCGCCTCGGCCATCCAGGTGAGGTCGATGTTACAGGCGAGCACGGGTAGCTGGGCTGGAGGCGGGACTTCGTACGCACGTCCTGGACTCCCATTGGTCAGGAGCACGTCAATCAGCAGCTGCAGGTTAGTCTCCCATCTGATTGGCTCTCCGAACAGGATGATCGCTACGGCCAAACAGGAAGTCAGGGAGAAACTCAACAAAATAAGATTGTATTTTAACTTTTAATCCCATTATATAGAGTTATTAAATTAGTGTCTCTTTATTATGTCCAAAAACTGTTTGTTATGGATTTTGTGGTGTAGTTTGTTGTTTAGTTTGTTGTGTAGTTTGTTGTGTAGTTTGTTGTTTAGTTACCTTCTATTTTGGGAAAGGTCTTCAGAGGGGACGACTGAAACACAGAGACTCAGGAAGTTAATTTACTTTCTGCTGTCCGGGAAACTTCTGGCTGAAACAGCACAAAGACACCAGAAGATAGAGGACAGAGGACAGATGTTAGAGGTCAGAGGTCACTCACAGAGAGGTCAGGTTTGCGGTTGTGGTCCACCATGTCCAGCAGGGGGTGCTGGACTCGCAGCTGATCCACACTCAGAACCTTCTGGAAGCCCAGCCTTAGACAGTTAGGGTCCAACACATAATACATGTATATATATATATTCATATGTTCTGTCTCTAAACTACATTACCCATGAGCCTCATGGGGCCGCATGTGAAGGATACGTTTTGGCGATTTCGGTCACCGGGCCCTGACCCGACACCAGAACACATTTATCATGGAAATCATCCAACGTCTGCAGAGGACTGTGAGACAGAACCACCTGCTCTGGAGACACCTGCACACAGAGCAGATCACACAGGGAGCCAATCACAGAGCAGATCACACAGGGAGCCAATCACAGAGCAGATCACACAGAGAGCCAATCTCAGAGCAGATCACACAGGGAGCCAATCACAGAGCAGATCACACAGGGAGCCAATCACAGAGCAGATCACACATTGAGCCAATCACAGAGCAGATCACACATTGAGCCAATCACAGAGCAGATCACACATTGAGCCAATCACAGAGCAGATCACACAGGGAGCCAATCACAGAGCAGATTTTTAAAATCTTTTTTCTGCATGCTTCTTAGGAAACATTAAGCTGTCTTTGGCTCTTTTCTTTTACTAATAAAGTAATTCTGATTCTGATCACACAGAGAGCCAATCACAGGGCAGATCACATAGAGAGCCAATCACAGGGCATACCTGGACCTCCAGGAGGCGGGACAACTGCTGGGCTTTGTCGTGTCTCTGACAGCTTCCTGCGTTGGTCACGAAGACGACAGGAAACAGGAAGTTGTTGTCTCGGTCCAGAAGCTTCCGGAAGGCTCTTCTCGCCGCAGGAATAACGGAACGACCGCGGAGCAAAACGCCGTCCACATCGAAGAGGACGCCCGCCTGAAGACAGGTAGTTATATTTAAAGGTCACCTATTATGCAAAATCCTCTTCTTCACGTCTCTTCTTCATCAACATGTGTCCCCTCTTCTTCATGTCTCTTCTACATCAACATGTGTCCCCTCTTCTTCATGTCTCTTCTACATCAACATGTGTCCCCTCTTCTTCATGTCTCTTCTTCATCAACATGTGTCCCCTCTTCTTCATCAACATGTGTCCCCTCTTCTTCATGTCTCTTCTACATCAACATGTGTCCCCTCTTCTTCATGTCTCTTCTTCATCAACATGTGTCCCCTCTTCTTCATGTCTCTTCTACATCAACATGTGTCCCCTCTTCTTCATGTCTCTTCTTCATCAACATGTGTCCCCTCTTCTTCATGTCTCTTCTACATCAACATGTGTCCCCTCTTCTTCATGTCTCTTCTTCATCAACATGTGTCCCCTCTTCTTCATGTCTCTTCTTCATCAACATGTGTCCCCTCTTCTTCATGTCTCTTCTACATCAACATGTGTCCCCTCTTCTTCATGTCTCTTCTACATCAACATGTGTCCCCTCTTCTTCATGTCTCTTCTTCATCAACATGTGTCCCCTCTTCTTCATGTCTCTTCTACATCAACATGTGTCCCCTCTTCTTCATGTCTCTTCTTCATCAACATGTGTCCCCTCTTCTTTCATGTCTCTTCTACATCAACATGTGTCCCCTCTTCTTCATGTCTCTTCTTCATCAACATGTGGTCCCCCCTCTTCTTCATGTCTCTTCTTCATCAACATGTGTCCCCTCTTCTTCATGTCTCTTCTACATCAACATGTGTCCCCTCTTCTTCACGTCTCTCTTCTACATCAACATGTGTGTCCCCTCTTCTTCGTGTCTCTTCTACATCAACATGTGTCCCCTCTTCTTCATGTCTCTTCTACATCAACATGTGTCCCCTCTTCTTCATGTCTCTTCTACAATCAACATGTGTCCCCTCTTCTTCATGTCTCTTCTACATCACATGTGTCCCCTCTTCTTCATGTCTCTTCTACATCAACATGTGTCCCCTCTTCTTCATGTCTCTTCTACATCAACATGTGTCCCTTCTTCTTCATGTCTCTTCTTCATCAACATGTGTCCCCTCTTCTTCATGTCTCTTCTTCATCAACATGTGTCCCCTCTTCTTCATGTCTCTTCTTCATCAACATGTGTCCCCTCTTCTTCATGTCTCTTCTACATCAACATGTGTCCCCTCTTCTTCATGTCTCTTCTACATCAACATGTGTCCCCTCTTCTTCATGTCTCTTCTACATCAACATGTGTCCCCTCTTCTTCATGTCTCTTCTACATCAACATGTGTCCCCTCTTCTTCATGTCTCTTCTTCATCAACATGTGTCCCCTCTTCTTCATGTCTCTTCATCAACATGTGTCCCCTCTTCTTCATGTCTCTTCTACATCAACATGTGTCCCCTCTTCTTCATGTCTCTTCTTCATCAACATGTGTCCCCTCTTCTTCATGTCTCTTCATCAACATGTGTCCCCTCTTCTTCATGTCTCTTCTACATCAACATGTGTCCCCTCTTCTTCATGTCTCTTCTTCATCAACATGTGTCCCCTCTTCTTCATGTCTCTTCATCAACATGTGTCCCCTCTTCTTCATGTCTCTTCTACATCAACATGTGTCCCCTCTTCTTCATGTCTCTTCTACATCAACATGTGTCCCCTCTTCTTCATGTCTCTTCTTCATCAACATGTGTCCCCTCTTCTTCATGTCTCTTCATCAACATGTGTCCCCTCTTCTTCATGTCTCTTCTACATCAACATGTGTCCCCTCTTCTTCATGTCTCTTCTACATCAACATGTGTCCCCTCTGTGGAAAGAGACCACTTTATGATGTCATAACGATGTTTTGTCTTGTGTAACCATTAGCCAATCAGCAACCAAGGTTCATCTAAAGTAACAGACAGAGAATCAGCACTTTGGAAACAGGGCTGAAACAGAGGGGATTATGGGTAATGCTGCAATGATCTGTTTGGTGTTTCAGCCAATCAGAGACAGGCTCTGTATATATCTGAGACCTGTGATATACTGATGGTGCTCCCTCACCTGTACTGTGTTGTGTTAGTGCATGTAAACCAGGGGGGCCAAGTCAACATTATGGCTGCACTCAAAGGGCCGGTTGTAACTTTAAGACCATATAAATATACATATATAAATATATAATATATATTAAATAATGTATTATATTACATTATTGGCTCTGCATTGGATTATTATCAGTTCTGGTAAGAACTACGTCTGAAAGCAGAAGTCTGGGGCAAATAATTGAAAGCAAATATTCAACAATTACACCAATTGTATTGTATATTATATTCTTTGAGAGAGCGGGGCCACGTGAAGTAACATTTTGGAAAAGCATACTTTTTGAATTTGCTGAGGGCCAGTTACAAATGGACAACGGGCCGCAGTTCGGACACCGACTTGAATGTGTTCAGTATTTCTTATGTGTATTATTCAGATAGTGATGAATGTCTTCTCCACTGTGAATATGTGCTGTGAAGGTTACTTTGTTATTTTATCTTTTAAATATGTTAACTCTTGACAACATTCATTTCCCAATTTGGGATTTCTAAAGTATATCTATGCATCTAGGAAGCCAAACGTGCCAAGTTTAAACGTTGTACCTCAGATAAGTTTAAAGGAAGAACAGTGAGTCCCTGCAACACACACACACACACACTGACCTGTCTGCTGCTGGATCTGACCGTCTGCAGAAGACCTCGACTCCACATGCTGTCTGTCTGCAGAGGAACTGCTGCTGGGCATTTATATACACACACACACACACACACACACACACACACACACACACTCACACACACACTATAACCCACAGATTGGATGGGGCTGATGGCACTTTTCTCCTCACATGACATCATCACATGCAGCGTTCAGCCTCTAATCATCACATGATGCGGAACGCTGCCAATCAACCAATCAGCTGCCAGATAGACGGCGTCACATGATGCAGAACTACAGCATCTCCACAGGTGAAGCAACAGTTTGTGCAAAGGCGTGTAAAGGTGTGGGGGGGGGCGAAGCAGTCTTATGAAGCCGACTGATGAGCGGTTACTATGGAGTGTGAGAGTAACGCCTCTTTGGTCAAACGCTTAGAGACGACAAGAAATACGTTCAGAAAAGATTTTTGAATTCAGGAATAAGTTGAAATTCAGAGAAAAAAAGTCAGAATGGCTAGAAATAAGTTCTGAGAGGAAGAATTCTGAAAAATAAATTATGAAGAATTTGGATAAAAGTCAGAATTCGGAATTACGGAGTTTGAATTCTGAAAAAATCTGAAAAACTGTCAAATTCTTAAAACATCTAATTAAAAAAATTAAGTAAAAGTCAAAATAATGATAAGTTCTGAGAAAAAGTTAGAATTGTGAGATAAATTACAGAATTAGGAAAGAGTCAAAATTCATAAACAAATTTTGAGAAAAAAGTCAAAATTCTGGAGAAAAAGTCGAAATAAGGAGAGAATTATGAAAAAAGTTGAAATTCTGAGATGAAGACAGAATTATGAAAAATAAATTATGAAGAATACAAATCCTGAAACACATTCTGATACAAGTCAGATTCTTAAAAAAATAAGTATTCTAAGGAGAAAGTTGGAATTCAGAAAAAAGTCTAAATTCTAGGAAAATTTGAAATTCAGAAATCTGTGAGAAAAGTCAAGAAACTGATCAAAAAATTCTCAGAAAGGAATGTATTCGGAGTAAAAGTCAGAATTGTGAGAAAAGTCCAAATGCTGAGATAAAATACAGAATTTTTAGCGAGCAACGGGCAAACTCAACTCAATTGAGTAAAGTTCAACTTCTCAAGCGTCGACGGAAGCGCCAGCCAATCAAATCATATGCCAGTACAAGCTCTAGCCAATCAAACCGCATGCTTGTGTGTCCGGGGCAGGAGATTAATGTGATTGGTTGTTGGTAGCACGACACACGCCCACCGGCAAGCTTCAACGCGACGCTGCCGTGTGGACGTTACGTAAGGGCTTCTCAGCAACTCTGCAGAAACCTATGGGTGACGTCACGGACACTACGTCCATTTATATATACAGTCTATGGTTTATACTGATACAAAAAGTCAAAATTCTGAAGAAAGGAAACATTCTGATAAAAGTCAGATTCTTAAAAACATTTTTATTTCTAAGAATTTTTTTTGATAAAAAAGTCAAATTCAGAAAATAACAGAATTTCACTGTTCCAGAAAACTGGGATTTTAGCCTTTGAAGACCATTTCACACAAACCTCTAATATGACACACCACAGGAGAGGAACATGGCCTCTCATCAGTTTGATGAGCGAGTGGAGTTTCTATTCTAATGTAGAAGATACAGAACACATCGACCACATGATCTGAAAAACGCTTTTATTGAGAAACAGGAAAAAACTAAAAAAACAGGTATTTACATCGACAGACAGACAGATGGGTCAATGAGAGACAGACGGGTCACAGAGAGACAGACGGGTCAGAGAGACAGACGGGTCACAGAGAGACAGACGGGTCAATGAGAGACAGATGGGTCAATGAGAGACAGACGGGTCAGAGAGACAGACGGGTCAGAGAGACAGACGGGTCAATGAGAGACAGACGGGTCACAGAGAGACAGACGGGTCAGAGAGACAGACGGGTCAGAGAGACAGACGGGTCAGAGAGACAGACGGGTCAGAGAGACAGATGGGTCAGAGAGACAGATGGGTCAATGAGAGACAGACGGGTCAGAGAGACAGACGGGTCAGAGAGACAGATGGGTCACAGAGAGACAGACGGGTCACAGAGAGACAGACGGGTCAGAGAGACAGACGGGTCACAGAGAGACAGACGGGTCAGAGAGAGACAGACGGGTCACAGAGAGACAGACGGGTCAGAGAGACAGACGGGTCAGAGAGACAGACGGGTCACAGAGACAGACGGGTCACAGAGAGACAGACGGGTCACAGAGAGACAGACGGGTCAGAGAGAGACAGACGGGTCACAGAGAGACAGACGGGTCACAGAGAGACAGACGGGTCAGAGAGAGACAGACGGGTCAGAGAGACAGACGGGTCAGAGAGAGACAGACGGGTCAGACGGGTCACAGAGAGACAGACGGGTCAGAGAGACAGACGGGTCAGAGAGACAGACGGGTCAGAGAGACAGACGGGTCAGAGAGACAGACGGGTCAGAGAGAGACAGACGGGTCAGACGGGTCACAAAGAGACAGACGGGTCAGAGAGACAGACGGGTCAGAGAGACAGACGGGTCACACGCCCAGCAGCGTCCTGGCTGTCTGACTCTGAGCCTGAAGAGTCTCACTGGCGTAACGCTGCAACAACTCCATCTTCTTCCTCCTGACCAGAGCCTCCTCCACCTGAGAGACAGACAGGTGAGAGAGAGACAGGTGGGAGACAGACAGGTGAGAGAGAGAGAGAGAGAGACAGACAGACAGGTGAGAGAGAGACAGGTGGGAGACAGACAGGTGAGAGAGAGACAGGTGAGAGACAGACAGGTGAGAGAGAGACAGAGAGACAGACAGGTGAGAGAGAGACAGGTGAGAGAGAGACAGGTGGGAGACAGACAGGTGAGAGAGAGAGAGAGAGACAGACAGATGAGAGAGACAGGTGGGAGACAGACAGGTGAGAGAGAGGGACAGGGAGAGAGAGGGACAGAGAGAGAGAGAGAGAGCGGGACAGAGAGAGAGAGAGAGACAGACAGGTGAGAGAGAGACAGGTGAGGGAGACAGACAGGGAGAGAGAGAGAGAGACAGGTCATTATCAGTGGTGTAAAGTAACTAAGTAGATTTACTTTGGTTCTCTTGATATATTTGTCTCACCTCTTTCTGGGAGGGAACAGGTACGTGTGCCATGAAGGTGACCCCCCCCTCCTCCCCCTCCATCTCCTCCTGGCTCTCCTCCTCTTCAGGCTGCAAGACACACAAACAGGAAGTCACCTCAACAACAACAACAACAACAACATCAAGTATCCGCAGACCGACACACAGCAGGTACACACTTATTTAAACATTCTACATGTTACACGTTATGTGATAAACCCTGCTGCATGTGCGCTCTGTGAATGCTCATCTTCAGCTGCATGTGCACTCTGTGAATGCTCATCTACAGCTGCATGTGCGCTCTGTGAATGCTCATCTTCAGCTGCATGTGCGCTCTGTGAATGCTCATCTTCAGCTGCATGTGCACTCTGTGAATGCTCATCTTCAGCTGCATGTGCACTCTGTGAATGCTCATCTTCAGCTGCATGTGCACTCTGTGAATGCTCATCTACAGCTGCATGTGCGCTCTGTGAATGCTCATCTTCAGCTGCATGTGCGCTCTGTGAATGCTCATCTTCAGCTGCATGTGCACTCTGTGAATGCTCATCTTCAGCTGCTTGTGCACTCTGTGAATGCTCATCTTCAGCTGCTTGTGCACTCTGTGAATGCTCATCTTCAGCTGCATGTGCACTCTGTGAATGCTCATCTTCAGCTGCTTGTGCACTCTGTGAATGCTCATCTTCAGCTGCATGTGCACTCTGTGAATGCTCATCTTCAGCTGCATGTGCACTCTGTGAATGCTCATCTTCAGCTGCATGTGCACTCTGTGAATGCTCATCTTCAGCTGCATGTGCACTCTGTGAATGCTCATCTTCAGCTGTAATCTGTATGTATGCTGGGACTTCACCTCCTCTTTATGAGCGTTGTAGATGCTCTCCTCCTCCTCTTCCTCCGGCTGCTTGTCTCCAGACAGACGGGACTCCTTCTCCTTCCTCCACTTCTGCACCGCCTCCTGCACAGCTGCACAACACAAACAAACAACACAAACAATATAAACAAACAACACAAACACACAAGCCAAACATCCGATGATTGGCCGTGTGATAGTATTCAGACCTTGCTTCTCGTACTGCGCCTCCAGAGGCAGCAGGACTCCATCGTCTTCGTCTCTGTATCCGTAATATTCTGCGTCGACCTCCTTCATCAGCTCCGCCCTCGACTTCCTCATCGCCGGAGCAGCTGAGGGTCACATGATCACAGAGAGGGTTAGAGCACTCTCCCTGGTCTCCGGCTTGAGCTTCAATCTCAGGATCCATGTGTTTATGATCCTCTCCAGAATGGAAGAAGTCATCACATACAGACTTTCTCTCAAAATCTAGACTTTCTCTCAAAATCTAAAAATTCTGACTTTCTCTCAAAATCAAAAAATTCCGACTTTCTCTCAAAATCTAAAAATTCCTACTTTCTCTCAAAATCTAAAAATTCCGACTTTCTCTCAAAATCTAAAAATTCCGACTTTCTCTCAAAATCTAAAAATTCCAACTTTCTCTCAAAATTCCGACTTTCTCTCAAAATTCCGACTTTCTCTCAAAATCAAAAAATTCCGACTTTCTCTCAAAATCAAAAAATTCCGACTTTCTCTCAAAATCTAAAAATCCCGACTTTCTCTCAAAATCTAAAAATTCCGACTTTCTCTCAAAATCTAAAAATTTGGACTTTCTCTCAATCTAAAAATTCCGACTTTCTCTCAAAATCCAAAAATTCCGACTTTCTCTCAAAATTCAAAAATTCCGACTTTCTCTCAAAATCCAAAAATTCCGACTTTCTCTCAAAATTCACAAATTCAGACTTTCTCTCAAAATTCAGACTTTTTCCTCAAATTCAGACTTTTTCTAAAAATCTCAATTTTCTAAACATTCGGAAATTTTCTCAAAATTCTGACTTTTTCCTGAAATTCTGACTTTTTCTCAAAATTCAGACTTTTTCTCAAAATCAGGATCCATGTATTTGTGATCCTCTCCAGAATGGAAGGAGTCATCACATACAGAGCATCAACTAGTTCCTGAACAGTGTCCTTCACATGCTGATATCCAAGAGAGGGAGTTACACAGTCACAAGATGGAGGAATAGAAAGCAGTATTCAATGTTTACTTCAGATTAGCTCCACGTCAGAAATGAGCATGCTTGATGTCTATCTCCATAGAGGCTGAATCATCATGTTAATCACATAGCTATCATATGCCTCAAACAGTCCTGATGCTCTTCTAGGTAATCACACATCCTGTCATGTTGGGATACCTTTGTTAGCATGTTGCTCTCATGTTGGAAGAGGACATTCTGGATTTCCCCAACAGAGAGCCAATCAGACGACAGCACAGTGATGATGACGGATGATAACAGGAAGTAAAGACAAGAGTTTACGTACGCTCCTTCTCGAACAGCTCTCGGACTCCAGGCAGGTCTCTGGCTGCGCCGAAGTATTTATATCCTCGATTTCCTGGAACCGCCTTCCCCTCGTGATCCAGCATCCTGGGCCCGACTCGCTGGAACACAGGAACGCACCTCAAAACCTCATCATCTTACCTCTAGAGACACCCTATCCCACCTTGAGCAACACATCGCCAAAACCTCAGAAACACGCCTGGAGTACTTCACAAAAATGTTCCCTAACTTACAAGGGTTCCAAGTTCCCAGAATCCTGAGTTCTCACGGTCTTAAGGTCGCTGTGCAAAGAGTCACAAATTCCCTGTACCTAACTTTCCCGGATCGTTAGAGTCCTAGGGTTCTTGGTTCTGAGTCCTAGGGTTCTTGGTTCTGAGTCCTAGGGTTCTTGGTTCTAAGTTCCCAGAGTCCTAAGATCCCAGAGTTCAGTTCTTGGGTTCAATGTTAACCAGAGTCATGGGTTCCTAAAATCCTACGTTCCCAGAGTCCTAAGATCCTAAAGATCTATGGTCTAAGTTATCTAGACCCAGTAGAGGTACTGGTTTCGGTAGATAAGTGGTCTGAGTACAGTTACTGGTTCTGGATGGTTACGGGTTCTACTGGTTCTGGTTCTGGATGGTTACTGGTTCTGGATGGTTACGGGTTCTACTGGTTCTGGATGGTTACGGGTTCTACTGGTTCTGGATGGTTAGTGGTTCTGGATGGTTACTGGTTCTGGATGGTTAGTGGTTCTACTGGTTCTGGATGGTTAGTGGTTCTACTGGTTCTGGATGGTTAGTGGTTCTACTGGTTAGTGGTTCTGGATGGTACTCACTGCGTAGTCCGGTCCTCCCAGTTCTTTGATCCTGACCTCCCAGTGACCTTTCTCTCTCAGCAGCTTGTTGATCTCATCGTTCAGATCCCGAATCTTAAACTCCCCGAGACCAGCTGCAGACAGACAGACGGGTCAGAGAGAGAGACAGGTAGGTCAGAAAGACAGGTGGGTCAGAGAGACAGACAGGTGGGTCAGACAGACAGGTGGGTCAGAGAGACAGACAGGTAGGTCAGAGAGACAAACAGACAGGTCAGAGAAACATACAGGTCAGAGAGACAGGTGGGTCAGACAGACAAGTGGGTCAGACAGACAGGTAGACAGGCAGACCTTGTTTCCATGGTGACCGTTAGTGGCCTTGGTAACAACAGGCTGATTCACACACTCACCGTTCTGGATCTGAGCCACTTTCTTAGAGATCTCACTGATGATCTGAAACACACAGTTGGTAATGGGACAAAGCTTTTCTCTGATAAACAAACAGCTCTTCTTTAAGGCGACAGGAGCTGAGGCTCATGGGAGATGTAGTGTGTGGAGCTGAGGCTCATGGGAGATGTAGTGTACAAACAGCTCTTCTTTAAGGCAACAGGAGCTGAGGCTCATGGGAGATGTAGTGTGTGGAGCTGAGGCTCATGGGAGATGTAGTGTGTATTTGTCATAGAAAGCTGTTTGATTTGCCGACAGAGCAGGAAGTGGATAATGTTTACCTGTCGTCTCCATTTCTCAGCTTTAGGAAGCTCACTGCACTCTGACGCCAGGAAGGGCCTCCTCTCCTGCAGACAGGTGAGACAGGTGAGACAGGTATAACCATCAGACAGGTGAGACATCATGTCAGACAGGTATAACCATCAGACAGGTGAGACATCATGTCAGACAGGTATAACCATCAGACAGGTGAGACATCATGTCAGACAGGTATAACCATCAGACAGGTGAGACATCATGTCAGACAGGTATAACCATCATGAGCGGCCGTACACATGCGTAACGATAGATCTGCACTAAACTTAAATCTGTCTCCATATTTGCGTAGACTAGTATTTCAACTCTGGCCGCCGTTGACGCTTTTAAAAATGCGCCTCAAAAATGTAGCTCGGATTAAACGCTGCATGTGTACGACCCCTCATGATAGGGAACAGGAAGTAGACGAGGAAGAACAGGAAGTGGCACCTTCACTTTCCCCTCCTCCAGCTGAGCCTGTCTGAACCGAGCCAGAGCCGTCCTGAGACACAGAGCAGGTTACAATCAGCAGGGGTTTAATGAACAGAAGAGAAATGGAATATATATATAGAATAAACTCACATGGCCTTCTCCGCGTTTCTTGCCTGTAGAAAAAAAAATACAATCAATACATAAATAACATCAAACATACAGAAAACATTAAATAATAATAATTATTAAATCAATTAAGATATAGCAATAAAGCAATATGATAAATGAATGACACCAATATTATTACAAATTCAATTAAATCTTACTATTATTATAGTTTAGAGGTGGACAGCAGCTCACACACATAATAATAATAATGTATTTATATATATCCCTTTCTAGGCCGCTTTACATGAGGGAAGGACACACAACAACACAACAAACAAAGTGAGGGAAATAACATAACATTGTAAGTATGATTACAATGTTATGAAAGTCTTTGTTGTGGAAAGGGTCAGTCCCTAAAGGGTCAGTCCCTAAAGGGTCAGTCCCTAAAGGGTCAGTCCTAAAGGGTCAGTCCTAAAGGGTCAGTCCTAAAGGGTCAGTCCCTAAAGGGTCAGTCCTAAAGGGTCAGTCCTAAAGGGTCAGTCCCTAAAGGGTCAGTCCTAAAGGGTCAGTCCCTAAAGGGTCAGTCCCTAAAGGGTCAGTCCCTAAAGGGTCAGTCCCTAAAGGGTCAGTCCCTAAAGGGTCAGTCCCTAAAGGGTCAGTCCCTAAAGGGTCAGTCCCTAAAGGGTCAGTCCCTAAAGGGTCAGTCCTAAAGGGTCAGTCCTAAAGGGTCAGTCCTAAAGGGTCAGTCCCTAAAGGGTCAGTCCTAAAGGGTTAGTCCCTAAAGGGTCAGTCCCTAAAGGGTCAGTCCCTAAAGGGTCAGTCCTAAAGGGTCAGTCCTAAAGGGTTAGTCCCTAAAGGGTCAGTCCCTAAAGGGTCAGTCCTAAAGGGTCAGTCCTAAAGGGTCAGTCCCTAAAGGGTCAGTCCTAAAGGGTCAGTCCTAAAGGGTTAGTCCCTAAAGGGTCAGTCCTAAAGGGTCAGTCCTAAAGGGTCAGTCCCTAAAGGGTCAGTCCCTAAAGGGTCAGTCCCTAAAGGGTCAGTCCTAAAGGGTCAGTCCCTAAAGGGTCAGTCCCTAAAGGGTCAGTCCCTAAAGGGTCAGTCCTAAAGGGTCAGTCCCTAAAGGGTCAGTCCCTAAAGGGTCAGTCCCTAAAGGGTCAGTCCCTAAAGGGTCAGTCCTAAAGGGTCAGTCCCTAAAGGGTCAGTCCCTAAAGGCGACAGCACTCTTTATAAAGTAAATAACGGTCTGTATTCACATGTTCTTTATGTATTCAAATCTCTGGATATGTGTTACTTAGCGGGCCTGAACAGAGACCCCCGCCTTTAATATTATCTCTCATTATTATTCATAATGCAGAGTTTGTTACACTTTAATCCCTGAATGTTTTCTAACTTTAAATGATCCGCCTGTTGAAGCTAACATGCTAGCTAACAGGTTAGCATGCTAACTAGCCGCTACATGTGTTTCTGCTCTTTATGAAGTCTTTAAAACATGTGAAGTGTATTCCTGCTGCTCACCATCTCTGCCGCGGCTCTTTAGGATTATACCAGAAGGAAATGAAGTGTATAATAGAACGTTTTCCTGAGGAGAAACACTGAAGAGACGATTCAAACACGCCGAAAAACAAACAGGAAGTTTCACTATTGCTTCCGGTGTCCTGACGTCATAAGTTGTTGGTTTGAAACTGCTGCCACCTAGCGGTAGTGTGGCAGACACTGAAGCTTCGATACGTATCGAGCAGCCTGCCTGTGTGCCCTCCTTTCTTCTTTCTCTTCTCTTCCCGGGCTTCAAGCCGACATGTGCGTTTCTGCTGCTCAATAAAGTAGCGTGGCGAACCCAAAACTGTCCCAAATGTCCCAAACTACAGGAAGTACTTGAGGAGTAGTGGAAACAAGACTGCACTGTGCATGTTTGTGAGCAACTACATTGTCACTGCTTCCCCACAGAGACTACACTCAGGATTTGACGACGGGGAGGAGGTGAAGAGCATCTACACAGCAGGAGTCAGCAGTTTGACATCACTGTGATCAGGAGGAGACAGACACAAGGATGGAGCTCCACACAGCTTGCAGAGTCATATTCCCGCATCATTGTGAGGTCTGATGACACAGGTGTGGAAGTACTGCTCATATATTACGCAAGCAAATACATGTTTGGTTCATCTCTAGTGTCCATGCATGCAGGCCATGTGGTTTCACACCACATGTGAGAACATTGGAAAAGACATAATAATAATAATAAATTGTATTTGTAAAGCACCTTTCATTGCTAAAAGCAATCCCAAAGTGCTACAGGAGGCGTAACGGCCCGTCCACACAGCGGCGTGCGTTGAAAGCTTCACCATTCACTTTGAATGGGGTGACGTCACTTTTCACCGAACTGCATTGTGGGAAGCGAAGCGGAGCTTTGCTGGCGTGGCTCGCTGCAAAAGTTGAGCAATGTTCAACTTTTGAAGCCTCGGCAGAAGCGTCAGCCAATCGAATCATATGCCAGTACAAGCTCTAGCCAATCAAATCAAGCTTGTGTGTCAGGGGCGGGAGATTCATGTGATTGGTTGTTGGTCGAGTTTCAGACACGCCCGCCGGCAAGCTTCAACGCACGCTGCCGTGTTTGTAAGAAACAAACAAAATAAACAAAAGTTTAATCAAAGGCTTTTTTTTTAAAGAAAGGTTTTTAGGCCTTTCTTAAAGGCTTCAGTGGTCTATGGAGTCCTCAGGTGGTCTATGGAGTCCTCAGGTGGTCTATGGAGTCCTCAGGTGGTCTGGGGAGTCCTCAGGTGGTCTGGTGAGTCCTCAGGTGGTCTATGGAGTCCTCAGGTGGTCTGTGGAGTCCTCAGGTGGTCTGTGGATTCCTCAGGTGGTCTGTGGAGTCCTCAGGTGGTCTGTGGAGTCCTCAGGTGGTCTGTGGAGTCCTCAGGTGGTCTGTGGAGTCCTCAGGTGGTCTATGGAGTCCTCAGGTGGTCTGGGGAGTCCTCAGGTGGTCTGTGGAGTCCTCAGGTGGTCTGTGGAGTCCTCAGGTGGTCTGGGGAGTCCTCAGGTGGTCTGTGGAGTCCTCAGGTGGTCTGGGGAGTCCTCAGGTGGTCTGTGGAGTCCTCAGGTGGTCTGTGGAGTCCTCAGGTGGTCTGGGGAGTCCTCAGCACCTGCTGTGCAGAATGTCAAAATGTGTCCCCTAACGTTTCTGAGGAACCTGACATTTAACATTATATTCTAGCATCTATATACTTGACCTCTCACAGAATGATTTGATGACTTGTATACTGTACTTTGAATGAAGGTTCCAGTTTCAATAAAACCTCTACTATGTACACCTATGTTTTAGAGGCTTGCCATTTAGAACTAATACACTTTATTGTATTGGTTTACTCTTATTCTGACTATTTGGTGATGTAGTTCAGCCACCTGGTCTTTCCCTCTCCAAAGAGTGAGCATTCTTATCTTATAGGCTATTATGCCACTTATCCCCCATTCTGAATGTGACTGTATCAGAGAAGAGGTAGGCCTATGTCTAAAGAAATCTCATTTGCAATAGACCTGTACCAGATATTTCCATTTTCTGATAAATGAGAGAAAAGTGATGTCCTATGTTCCTATCACCAAAAGTACCATTTCCGTCTAAAGTAAAGCTAAGTTTACAGGACTATAATTCAGTATTTTTTTAGTTAAATAATTGTCTGACTATTTGGTGATGTAGGACAGCCACCTGGTTCATACCTCAGCAAATCTGAAGAGGAAAAGAGTGGTCGTTCTCAAGTTATGGGCTTTCTTGTCACCTTTCCCATTCGGCCTGGTCTGATTGGCTCTTGTTCAGGGATTGGGGTAGTTCTAAAGAACAACCAAAAAAACCTTTTTTCCCCCAAAATAAAATTTGACAACAATCAATTTCATTAATGGGAGACCCTAAAGATAAGAAAAATCATTGTTGTGTTTTGTTCTACCTCGGGTAGGGGTATCTCACAATCTGAGGGCCCTTCCTGCTAGACTAGCTGCTGCAGATAGGACGTTTCTAATGTATCTGACATTTGACAGATTGAACTTCACTTTATTGAACACCTTTTTGATGTGGGTTTTGAAACTGAGGTTTGTGTCAATGTGTACTCCTAAGTACTTATACATATATATTATAGGTGGCGTGTGACGCAGTGGGCTGTGCGTTGGTGTTCGGATCAGATGGTCACAGGTTCAAACCCCACTGCAGTCAGCATGTCGTTGTGTCCCTGAGACACTTCACCCCAAAGTGCTCCTGTGGGGATTGTCCACAGTATTGAGTCTGTAAGTCGCTTTGGATAAAAGCGTCTAACATGTCATGTAATGTTATACTCCGAGACAACCTGTAGTCTCCTTCCAGAAAAGAAAACATCTTGTTCTGTAACAATGCTGTGGCCCTTGGAGAATAACATACGCACTGTCTTTGAAATATTTGGTTGCAAACAATTGTTGTTAAGCCAGGATGTAATATTCACCAAGACATCAGTGACCTTGGTTGCTGCCTCTTCTGCGGTTCTTCCATGTATCATCAGCAGACATGAATACATCACATTGTCCACGCACAGAAGGCAGATCATTGATGCACATGCTAAACAGGATTGGGCCCAATACAGAGCCCTGCGGTACGCCAGCTGACAGACATACCGCACTAGACTTATGGTTCTCAATTTTAACACATTGGGAGCGGGATGAAAGATACGGATGAAAGAGGTTGGTGAATTCTATAGAAACATTTAAGTTGAGCATTTTTTGCAATACGATGTTATGATTAAGTGTCGAAAGCTTTCCGTAAATCAAGGAACACGGCCCCCACCGCCTGTCCATTGATGCTTTCTCTACGAAGAAGCATGTCGCTGTTTCTGTTGAGTGGTTATCCCTGAATCCAAATTGCATTGGATGCAGTGGGAAGCAGCTGTTGAGATGATAATAAATAATAAATATAAATAAAAACCAGAAGAGTCTTAAATATGAGATGACGGTCACGTTATTCTCTATATTAATGGTTTGTGTGATTTGAGGCTGGAAACAGACTTTTCTGCAGTCTCTGTTTAGTTTTTATTGTCATAAATCAACGTATCAAGCAGCCGTGCTTCGAGTAATAATGTATATTGTTGTTTTTGTGAATGTTGTTAAATTAATTTGTTTGCAGTTAAAATAACTTCTGTTTTCACTCTTTGTCTTTTCATTGTTTTTATTATTAAAAATGTAATTAATATGATTCTGAGTAAACAGCTGTTCAGGGTGCCTGCGTCTTCTCCCGCTCATCGGAGTCTGGTCGTGGAAGTAAAGCGACTGCAGCACCGCTCCGGTTCTCCGCCCATCTCCATCGCTCCCTCACTCGAGGAAAAGACCCCGAGACATTTTAAACCCATCCAGAAAAAAATGTAAATAGTTTCACAGTTGTTTCTACGAGAGGCACTTGGTCAGTTGTATAAAAAATAAAATAAGTGTAGTCAGAAAAAAAACTATCCATAAAAACCTTTTTAATCCTTGTCACTGAGCAGAATAAAATACAGCCAATCAGAACGCAGTATTCTCAGGAAGAAGGACACGGCGGCTGTGACTTCAAAATAAAGTTTAATAAAGGATTTTACAAAATGAAATGGTTGATTAGAAAACATTTAAATAATCAGCTGATCATCACAGCCGCAGCTCACAGAGCTCAATCATTGGACCACACTCTGAGTGACCACGCCCACATATGCTAATGAGAAGTAACAGGAAGTAAACAGGAAGGAAATAAACAAACAGCGTTCTCCGTGTCCACCAATAGGAGAGGAGGTTATAAAACAGTCCAATCAGAGAGCAGGGTCAGCGGCGGGGGGGCGGGGCTAGCAGGTGCGTGGCGTAGGCCGACTCTGGAAACAGCTGATGGTAAGCAGAGAGCGGGACGAAGGAGGCGGTGATCAGCTGACCTGAAACACACACAACAAACATCAAACACACAATAATACAGAGCTGTAGTTCCTTTATAGCCCAACATTAGCCGCCTTTAGCTTAGCGGTGGTGACGTGAAGTCATGTGACCGTGCTGTAGTTCCTTTATAGCCCAACATTAGCCTCCTTTAGCTTAGCGGTGGTGACGTGAAGTCATGTGACCATGCTGTAGTTCCTTTATAGCCCAACATTAGCCGCCTTTAGCTTAGCGGTGGTGACGTGAAGTCATGTGACCGTGTTGTAGTTCCTTTATAGCCCAACATTAGCCTCCTTCAGCTTAGCCGTGGTGACGTGAAGTCATGTGACCGTGCTGTAGTTCCTTTATAGCCCAACATTAGCCGCCTTCAGCTTAGCCGTGGTGACGTGAAGTCATGTGACCGTGCTGTAGTTCCTTTATAGCCCAACATTAGCCACCTTTAGCTTAGCGGTGGTGACGTGAAGTCATGTGACCGTGCTGTAGTTCCTTTATAGCCCAACATTAGCCACCTTTAGCTTAGCGGTGGTGACGTGAAGTCATGTGACCGTGCTGCTAGTTCCTTTATAGCCCAACATTAGCCTCCTTTAGCTTAGCGGTGGTGACGTGAAGTCATGTGACCGTGCTGTAGTTCCTTTATAGCCCAACATTAGCCACCTTTAGCTTAGCGGTGGTGACGTGAAGTCATGTGACCGTGCTGTAGTTCCTTTATAGCCCAACATTAGCCACCTTTAGCTTAGCGGTGGTGACGTGAAGTCATGTGA